TTGAGTTCACAGGTTTACCAGTCGGCAGAGTCTTTGATGTTCTGCAGATCAGCTTCTTTGGGTGATATTTTATATGAGTACAACTAGCAAGTTGCAAACATTTACTGAAGCACTGTAAGATCCCCCATGGCTTGAATTCAGCAAATGGAGTGTCATTATCACATCGCTGCTCTGATGCATATTTGGTAAATGCAGACATGTCCTCAACTTCAGCTAATCCATACACTGAGACCAATGGCAAGGTATAACACAAACAAAGCACTTGATGCAGCATCTCTGTATCAACAGCTCTGTCTCCTTGATATCTAAGATGCTAGTTGCCTAATGTAAACTGTTATTCCTGCCTAGTCTCTGCAGAGACATTGTCATCCCCAACAGAAACTGTTGATCTTTATAATGAGTGCAGTCGATACCAACAGCAGGGGTGGAAGGCTTGCTGGTGCTTCTGTTATGAGTTGATACAGATCACGTATGTTTCTGGTTGAATTACCATAAGTGTCAGATTATCATAATCATTACTATCACTGGTGAATTATGATAGGGAATAAACTGAGCGTTCAGCAAGTCTCACTGCACCACTTCTCCCTGTTCACGGGAAATGGATTACTCGCGGTAACTGTCAGTGTTACCTGACCTTCAACAAAGGCTTGTTTTGCAGCAGGCTTGTCCCATTTTGAAATCGGCAGCTAATTCCCTTGAATTTTTCTTCTCTCAAATTTGATATGTGAGACATTTTATTAAAAATACATTAAAATATTAAAAATATCAATACTAAATGGATCATCAATTATATCAATAATATTCAGCTCTTTCTTGGAATTAAGAAGTAAAGTTTCACATTTAACTATTAATATATTAAGCACATGAAAGTCACTAAACAGACAATTAACCGTAACACAGTGAGTTATAATAAAGTATTATAATGGTGTTATAGGAGTGAGTTTTATGTAAATCAGGACATATATAACATCCAGTTATGTTTTCCATGTGGAAACACAATGCCATGTAGAAAGTAGCCAAATGTCACATATGTTATAATTTTGATTTGCCCTTTCTTTGAGAATTAGGGTTTTAATCCCGGATGGGACTCAATCTAACCGCAGTACTAGGATATGTTCTTTGCTTATAAAATATAACACTAAATTATAACAAATGCTGCATGTTTCCTATCCACATGCACTCAGCAATATGCCAGCTATATGGCGACGGTCATTAAATAATCGATCCTGGACCAGACATTCCAATGATCAACAGCGTGCGCATCGATCTACGAAATGGTGATATGATGACATGTGTCAACAAAGTCTCTTAAGACGCCTCTTAAGACGAACATGGGTTGATGAAGACCAATTCTACCTCGAATCTACAGGATTGATCCCCCTTGTCCACTTCGTCAATATGCAGTAAGTGGCTCAAGGCGTATTCACTGGTATACTTAATATATTCATATGTTATAACTGCTATGTTCACTGCCCCATGGTAGCTTCAGGAAGGGGCAGCTCAATGGTATTTACACTATGAAAACCTGACCTGTGGTACGAGCGTTTATTGATCGAGCCGTTTCCCGATTGCGGGTTCATTGCCCATAATGTCAACCGATCGTTTCCCCCAAAGTTCACTGTTATTTGCATCCGTGAAATCAAGCATTGCAAGCCCGAGGCATTGTTAGGACATTGTTTAAAACACTGGAACCTCTCACTCACTCGTTGCTTCTCAAATCCAAAATATATTTTCACAAACGGAATGATATTTTTGTCAAAACGAGATGAAACGATACGAAACGATACTTCAATGTGGGGAAACAGCGTCAGCATACGTCAATGTGGGAAAAGGTGTCAGCATACGTCAATGTGGGAAACATCGTCAGCATACGTCAATGTGGGGAAACAGTGTCAGCATACGTCAAAGTTGGAAACAGCGTGAGCATACTTCAATGTGGGGAAACAGCGTCAGCATACTGCAATGTAAGAAACAGTGTCAGCATACGTCAAAATTGGAAACAGCGTCAGCATATTTCAATGTGGGAAAAGGTGTCAGTATATGTCAAAGTTGGAAACAGCGTCAGCATACTTCAATTTGTGAAACAGTGTCAACATATGTCAAAGTTGGAAACTGCGTCAGCATACGTCAATTTGGGAAAAGGTGTCAGCATGCGTCAATGTTGGAACTGTTTCAGCATACGTCAATGTGGGGAAACAGTGTCAACATACGTCAAAGTTGGAAACAGCGTCAGCATACTTCAATGTGGGAAACAGCGTCAGCATACTTCAATGTGGGAAAAGGTGTCAGTATATGTCACAGTTGGAAACAGCGTCAGCATACTTCAATTTGTGAAACAGTGTCAACATATGTCAAAGTTGGAAACTGCGTCAGCATACGTCAATTTGGGAAAAGGTGTCAGCATGCGTCAATGTTGGAACTGTTTCAGCATACGTCAATGTGGGGAAACAGTGTCAACATACGTCAAAGTTGGAAACAGCGTCAGCATACTTCAATGTGGGAAACAGCGTCAGCATACTTCAATGTGGGAAAAGGTGTCAGTATATGTCACAGTTGGAAACAGCGTCAGCATACGTCAATTTGGGAAAAGGTGTCAGCATACGTCAATGTTGGAACTGTTTCAGCATACGTCAATGTGGGGAAACAGTGTCAACATACGTCAATGTTGGAAACAGCGTCAGCATACTTCAATGTGGGAAACAGCGTCAGCATACATCGTCAGCATACGTCAATGTTGGAAACAGTGTCAGCACATGTCAATGTGGAACAAAATGTCAGCATACTTCAATGTGGAACATGTATCAGAATACGTCAGTGTGGAACATGTGTCAGAATATGTCAATGTGGAACATGTGTCAGAATACGTCAATGTGGAACATGTGTCAGAATACGTCAATGTGGAACATGTGTCAGAATACGTCAATGTGGAACATGTGTCAGAATACGTCAATGTGGAACATGTGTTAGTGTACGTCAATGTAGGAAAATGTGTCGGCATACATCAATGTGGGAATCATGTCAGCAGAAATATTTACACTGTAAGTCGGTGTGTAATCACTGCTTCATGATGAACGATACGTGGAACTGTATACTGTGCCTGTGGCCAGCTTCACGAATCAAAATGTTACCTGCAGTAAGACTGACTGACTGACTGAGTTTAGTTTTAGCCGCTTTTAGCATAATTCCAGCAATATCACGGCGGGGAACACCAGAAATGGGCTTCACACATTTTGCCCATGTGGGGAATCGAACCCGGGTCTTTGGCGTGACAAGCCAACGCTTTAACCACTAAGCTACCCCACCGCCCCACCTGCAGTAAGAGGCAGACAGCGCCAGCAGGAATATGAACAAAAATAACAGCTGCATATGTAGTCAGCCAATAACCACAGCGCACCAGTTGAGTAAACACTGCACTGAAGTCAGTTACAAACGCGTGCAGACAGACCGCTTGGCAGAGACACTGGAATAAATCCAAAGAAAGGTGAGAAATAGGCCTCCTTTGCTTGTCGAGATGTGTTGAAAACCGATGTGTACACTTTGTTATGGGCATTGATAACCGGTAGTGCTGCCATCTTATTGACTGTCCATCATCCTGCGGTCTCTATGGTCACTGCCTCAAGAATTGGTGTGGCGTTTACAGACACATAGACAAATGTTTAGAGATTTACAGACAAGCAGTTCATAACCCTTACATTCTGTACATAACAGACACAGGGGCCATTGTCGATACATTCAGATACACCGGTCATTGGGTATGGTGATCTACCTTCAGTTATTGGCGATTTATAGCCCATTGTTATACTGTATTGTTTTTCCCCTATAGTTAAAACGTTTTAGATTTAATTACTAGTTTTACATACATATCTGTGATAGTCTAGTTGTTTTACTGTCCTTCGTCGACAGGTTTTTTATAATATACATATATTTCATTTCAATATCAAATGTTCTTGTCACGATATGGCTGAAATATTGCCGGTGTGACGTTAAATATTAACTCACTCACTCACTACACAGGTCATTGTATATGCATTCCCCATGGTCCCTAGTATGGTGATCTGCCTTCAGTTTTTGGCGATCAAAAGCCCATTTTTGTACTGGGTTGTCCTAGTTTGAACTACACATTTTAGAGAGAGTTGCTAGTTTTATTCCTTGATACTGTGATATTCTAGTTGATTTTACTGTCCTTCGTCGGCAGGTTTTTATAATCTATATGTATTATGGTGAATTCACAACTTATTTATAGTCACGATGTGGCTGAAATATTGCCGATGTGACTTAAAATCTTAACTCACTCACTATATACATCCACGAACACATAGGTCATTGTCTATACATTCACAGACAAACAGGTCATTGTCTATACATTAACAAACACACAGGACATTGTCGATACATTCACAGACAAACAGGTCATTGTCTATACATTCACAAACACACAGGTCATTGTCTATACATTAACAAACACACAGGTCATTGTCGATACATTCACAGACAAACAGGTCATTGTCTATACATTCACAAACACACAGGTCATTGTCTATACATTAACAAACACACAGGTCATTGTCGATACATTCACATACAAACAGGTCATTGTCTATATATTCACAAACACACATGTCATTGTCTATACATTCACAAACACACAGGTCATTGTCTATACATTCACATACAAACAGGTCATTGCCTATACATTCACAAACACACAGGTCATTGTCGATACATTCACAGACAAACAGGTCATTGTCTATACATTCACAAACTCACAGGTTATTGTCTATACATGCACATACAAATATGTCATTGTCTATACATTCACAAACACACATGTCATTGTCGATACATTCACAGGTAACTGAATGAACACAATGACAAACACTAATTGTTCATGCATTTACATATAAAAATATCCGTTTTACATGTCGTCAGTTCATGTATCACCATTGCCCAAGACACATTTGTGTACGCCAGACAGAATATATGTGTCTTTACCAGCCTAGTGTAGCAGCAGAACGACCAGCCTTTCTTGACGCACAGCTCACAGCTTGATACACTGCCCACACTTACTCTTCGATCACAAATCCTGCTCCAAACTGAAGGATCGGAAACGAGAGAAGTGACGAAATATGAGATGTCTCATCGAGCGGAGAAAACAGATATTTCGGGGTAGGTCCTTCTCTTTTGGATTCTAATCTATGGTTACAAATACCTTTTACTTTTTCTTAATATTGATTCTTTCCTTAGTCTGGTTTCCTTCTTTACAACTCCTAATCTATTCAAAAGTTTATACGTCACCACTGTACATTTGTTTAATCATGAAGCGATTAAAATTATATTTGCTAGGGATATATGGATGGACAACGTCTTTATTACTACACCGAGGAAAGTTTCGGTGCAGGTTCTATCATCTTATTCTAGCAACTGAATATGTTCATCTGTGGGTACCCAGCATTGCTAGATACTTCTAAGCAAAAATAACTATGTATCCACTGTGTGGTGTGGTGTGGTGTGGTGTGGTGTGGTGTGGTGTGGTGGTGTGGTGTGGTGTGGTGTGGTGTGGTGTGGTGTGGTGTGGTGTGGTGTGGTGTGGTGTGGTGTGGTGTGGTGTGGTGTGGTGTGGTGTGGTGTGGTGGGTGTGGTGTGGTGGGTGTGGTGTGGTGGTGTGGTGTGGTGTGGTGTGGTGTGGTGTGGTGTGGTGTGGTGTGGTGTGGTGTGGTGTGGTGTGGTGTGGTGTGGTGTGGTGTGGTTTGGTGTGGTGAGACGTTGCACTTAATAATAGTTTGCTCATATGACGACGTGCATGTTTGTGTTTGTGTGGCTGCTTGTACTAGCCCAGACTTAAGCTGGTTTTATAGTGCTACCTCACTAAGATGCCATGCCGCAGTTTAGCATGAATACCCCACTCAGACACATTAAACTGACTCCGAGCCGTATCCTTGTTGTACCCATTAATGCCGAACGCCATGCAGGGACCAACAAGAAGCATATTTTAACGTCTTTGGATATGACGATGGGAATCGAACCCGCGACCTTCCGCTCTCCGGGCGAACGCTCTAACCACTACACCACGGAGGGGGTCCAGAGTGAAGTAGACATAATGCGCAATTGTTAATGCTTAATGGCAACTGACCAGACAAGCACAAGCTGTACACATACCCATCCTCTAGTGACGTGGGAGGTCAGAGGATGGTTTGCAGATTTATTTGCCACCAAAAACCATCCTTCACAAGCAACATACTCAATAAATATATGCATAATCGATATTATGTCTGACAATCATACAAATTAGTAATTAAAACGGAATTCACCGAACGATTCCGACTTTAAAGTACGCATGTCTTTATGCATCACTATCAAACATTGATGACACCAGGTGTTCATTCATAAATGACACACAAAGCTCTACGAGTGTTTGCGAAGGGTGAGTGAGTTTGGTTTTACGGTGCTTTTAGCAATATTTTAGCAGTATTCCGGCGGGGAAACACCAGAAACGTGTGTTTGGGAAGAAGTAAATTACAGCATGTAATATATCATGGTTGTGGTACATAATCAAATATACATCAAAGGTCAATATCACAGCGAATGCATAAATGTAAAGTTCATCAACGTGCACGTGCTGATAAGAAACTGGAATGTGAGTTGGAGCTCGAGAAAAGAGTGAACTGTTAAATACCTCATCTGTAAAGTAATTTTATAATGCTTATATTGAAAACAGCAATGGCGAAAATATGTTGACAATTCTCAGAATATTTGGGATGCACACATATGTCACATTGAACGGGCATCGAAGAATTGCTATATTGTTCTCATTCAAGTCTATGATCTACAATGTTCAAGGAATTAAACTGGCCCAGTTTTGTGATCTATCCTACAAAGCATTCGGTTCTTACTTTAATTCCCATTTCGAAAGGCAATGTCCTATGTGTTACACAGAATGAAAATTCTTACATATTCTTTTCTTAAAGACCCGTGCCATCATAAGGGATAACTATTTCAACATCAAAACAGTAAAGGACCTTTTTAATAAAGTATATTATCATTTAATCATTGATTTTTTAAAAGAGATAGGTTTGTTAAATGAATTTTGATATATAATTTGTAAATAGATAAAATTTCATAATTGGTAGTTCAAATTATCAACTTAGATTGTTAGTGGCTGTATCCTCAAATGGGGTTGGAGTAGCGTAAAATTATTGTCCTCCTGAGAGGGTACGTTAGTCTAAAAACCTTTTTGTTATTTTTTGTTATTTTAATAGTGTTATTTTAAAATTCGGCTAAATTATCCTACAATCGCCAGCGGCTGAAGGGATGGTTTAAATCCAGCTAGGGTCCATGCAGGTAGCAAAAGTAATGTAAGTCCCCATGGTTCCTAGTATGGTGATATACCTTCAGTTGTTGGCGATCTATAGCCTGCGTTTATATTGTATTGTCCACATAGTGCTATTAGTTTTAACTTTTCTCGCTAGTTATAATTCTTATTGTGATATTCTAGTTGTTTTACTTTCCTTCGTCGACGGGCTTTTATAATATACATATATTCCATTTCAATGTCAAAAATGTTCTCGTCACGATATGGCTGAAATATTGCCAATGCGACGTTAAATATTAAATCACTCACTCACTTAAAGACCCGTGAAGATCCGGGTTAGAATTGGTCTTCAGCAACCCATGCTTGCCGTAAGAGGCGACGTCGTAAGAGGCGACCAAGGGGATCGGATGGTCAGGCTTGACGACTTTGTTGACACATGTCATCGGTTCCCAATTGCGTATAACGATGCTCATGATGTTGATCACTGGATTGTCTGGTCCAGACTCGATTATTTACAGACCACCGTCATAGAGCTGGAATATTGCTGAGTGCGGCGTAAAACTAACTTACTCACTCTTTTCTTACACGTATGATAAAGGGTATGCTTTGGAAAAAGTTGAAAAAAAAAATATTTTTGCACTTTCACCAATTGTGTGGAAACGGGAATACCTGGCTTCATTGTTTCTGTATCTGAGATAATGAACAATAACGGTTGAATTTATGTCGCAGGTGCCGCCATCTTAGCTGCATGTTTAGCACTGGTACTTATAGCCAAAGGTCGTGTGCGACAGGGAGCTCGAGAACGTAAGTAGTCAAATCTGTGTACTATTGTCATAATCAGACCTCTTTTGTCAATTACTGATATCCGCGAAAAGTAAGCCAACGTAAAGTAAATTACTTCAGCCTAAAACAAGTGACGCCAACGTGAATTATCTGACACGAACCTAAAACAAGTTACATGAACGTAGAGTATCTCACGTCAGTCTAAAACAAGTGACGCCGACGTAAAGTATCTGTGATCAGTCGAAAACAAGTGACGCCGACGTAGAGTATCTCACATAAATCTAAAACAAGTGACGCCGACGTAAAGTATCTCACATCAGTCTAAAACACGTGACGCCAAAGTAAAGTATCTGGTATCTGTCTAAAACAATTGACGCCAACGTAAAGTATCTGACACGAGCCTAAAACAAGTTTCATGAACGTAAAGTATCTCACGTCAGTCTAAAACAAGTGACGCCAAAGTAAAGTATCTGACACGAGCCTAAAACAAGTGACGCCGACGTAAAATATCTGACACGAGCCTAAAACAAGTTTCATGAACGTAAAGTATCTGACATCTGTCTAAAACAAGTGACACCGACGTAAAGTATCTGACACGAGCCTCAAGCACGTTACATGAACTTAAAATATCTGACATAAGTCGAAAACAAGTGACGCCACGTAAAGTGTCCGACATCAGTCTAAATCTAGTGACGCCACGTAAAGTGTCCGACATCAGTCTTAAACAAGTGACGCCACGTAAAATGTCCGACATCAGTCTAAAACAAGTGACGCCACGTAAAGTGTCCGATATCAGTCTAAAACAAGTGACGCCACGTAAAGTGTCCGATATCAGTCTAAAACAAGTGACGCCAACATTTAGTAACGTGCGTACAAATGTATCGGGTTGAACGGAGCAGCCCATTGCAGGTATAAACATTAGGAGACCTTGTCTCGTGTCAATACACTTGGGACGGTTGCGCTACACTTCACACGGTCAGCGGAAGATCAAACCTTCGTGCGGATAAATGAGTCAATTTTGTGTTGATTTAGCCGTTCGGTTTGTAAAATTTACCGTCCGGAAATGGAAACAGCATATACGTTGGAAACAGTCACTTCTATAACGTAAACTCTACCATGTGACTCATGCAATAACTCTATAATTATACGTCATATAAGCCTGAAAACATGCACGACTTTATACAACGAACAGGTTAGACGTTGCAGCACAAGTAGTTGTTAATCAATTATTAATATTATTAATTTTGTATAATTCTTACCAGCACAAGAGACTTCCCTGAGAGACGAGATTCCCATGGTTTCGCTGCGGGATGAATTCAAGGCCAAAATAGAAGGTTAATGCCCAAGCTTTCTTACAAAATAAATACAATACAAAAGTACATTATGTTCCACGTGTAGGGCTGCTGTTTAGAAGACTCGTTGTTCGCTGAGCTAGACCCAGCACAAATTGATTGCATAGTATTAGCTGAGACACACCAAGGTTATTACATCCATACTGCTTACCGCCAACTCATCACAAAGCAGTCTTGATCCCATTGTTCTCATTCTTCAAAATATAACTGGGTTCCTCTTTAATCCCGTGTTGTTAACTCTGCATTGTGTAAACATTATCCTTATTATGTAAACAACCATTACACCTTGTTCAACAGCCTTGTCATTTGTGTATACATCATCGACATTATCAGGCAGTACCTCTACTGCATACACATAACTTTATTCGTGTATGTACATATTTTACCTGCAGTAATGTACATCACTTGATAGCGGTGTTAACTTCTACACATCTCAGCAGAAGGTTTCTCATGCAATTAGTTTCCAGTTATATGTTGTTTTCATAAATATTAATGTTTAATCTCCATATATCATCACCTTCTTCAACTTTCACAATGTATCCACATTGGAATCGAACCCATGTCTTCGGCATGACGGGCGAACACATTACCCACACGTCTTAGTCATTGCTAACATATCAGCAAAAATAGCCAACACCTGAAGGAAGGAGGAACTTAAATAGTATGTTTTTAAAACACAGATTTAAATACATCTTGATTGTAGTCAATGCTTCAAAATCAGACCTTTAATTACAACTAGATTGTAACCCATAATTAAACACACAACTTTTCAGTACACAGTCACTGTTATCGGTAGTTAGACACAAAATATTTAAGCACACTGTGTGTGAATGTAATCAGTAGTTAAACACACACAATTTAAGTACACCGTCACTCTTATCAGTAGTTAAACACACACAATTTAAGTACACCGTCACCGTTATCAGTAGTTAAACACACACAATTTAAGTACACCGTCACTGTTATCAGTAGTTAAACACACACAATTTAAGTACACCGTCACCGTTATCAGTAGTTTAACACACACAATTTAAGTACACCGTCACCGTTATCAGTAGTTAAACACACACATAATTTAAGTAAACCGTCACCGGTATCAGTAGTTAAACACACACAATTTAAGTACACCGTCACCGTTATCAGTAGTTAAACACACACAATTTAAGTACACCGTCACCGTTATCAGTAGTTAAACACACACAATTTAAGTACACCGTCACCGTTATCAGTAGTTAAACACACACAATTTAAATACATCGTCATCGTGATCAGTAGTTAAACACACACAATTTAAGTGCACCGTCACTCTTATCAGTGCTTAAACACACACAATTTAAGTTAACCGTTACTGTCACCACTAATCAAACATACACAATTTAAGTGCACCGTCACTCTTATCAGTACTTAAACACACATAATTTAAGTGCACCGTCACTCTTATCAGTACTTAAACACACACGATATAAGTACACCGTCACTCTTATCAGTACTTAAATACACACAATTTAAGTGCACCGCCACTCTTATCAGTACTTGAACACACACGATTTAAGTACACCGGCACTCTTATCAGTACTTAAACACACACGATTTAAGTACACCGGCACTGTCACCAGTACTCAAACATACACAATTTAAGTACACCGTCACTGTTATCGGTACTTAAAGACACAACATGTAAGTACACCGTGACTTTATTAACTACTTCAACACACACCATTCAGGTACACAATGAATGTAGTCAGTGCTTCAACACAAAACGTTTAGTTTCACCATGATTGCAATCCGAATTGAAGTCTTTCCTATACCCAGCATCCCTGTGATTTGTTTAGATCTACAAACTGCGGGATTATGGAAGCCAAACCGATCTCTGAAGCCATGCAGAAACACCCGAGGCTGTAAGTATTCCATCTCCGTCTGTCCATTTCCAACTGTTCTACGCACTGTTCAGAAAAGGCATGATTAAAATTCATCTTGATGTCCATTTATAAAGCGTTCGTAACGCTTCTTAAGCCTATGATAAGTATAGAGTTACAATAGGTCGTAACGTTACGGCCGTTTTGTTGATCGGGACCTTGGTCTCCTGTGTCATTTTCTTCTGAATCTAAGTCGACTTGACTTCATAGTTCCGATAGAATCATAAACAGAATACTGTCTGATACAGGCACTCTGCCGATTTCGAAATATAGATAAGTCTTTAGGGCGATACCAGGTCATCGAGATGTCTACATTTGGCTACACTGTCATATGTTTACTGGTTGGTTGGTTTGTTGTTTAACGCCACACTCAGCAATATTCCAGCTATATGGCGGCGGTCTGTAAATAATCGAGTCTGGACCAGATAATCCAGTGATCAACAGCATGAGCACCTATCTACGCAACTGGGACATGAACACATGTGTCAACCAAGTCAGCGAGCCTGACCACCCGACCCCTTTAATCGCCTATTACGACAAGCATGGGTTACTGAACATCAATTCTAAACCAGATCTTCGAAGGTATATGTTCAGTGTATTGCTGTGCTGAGTCACACAATTCATACTCCAAAATTCTTCAAAGTCTGATTTATAGTGGCGGTTGGAACCAGCAGGGCAGACTAGACTTTCAATTCCTGTGAGCCCCTGCCACCTGCTGTCTTCACTGACTGGCAGAGATCCATATATACACTACTTTCCGCCACTATTTTCCCTTTTACAATGAGTAGAATCTTATGATCTTTACCTGCTTTCCACCACTTTTTCCCTTTTACTGGTAGAATCTTATTATCTTTATACATACACTATCCACCACTTTTTCCACAATGAGTAGACTTATTATCTTTATACATACACTTTCCACCACTATTTTCCCTTTTACAATGAGTAGAATCTTATTATCTTTATACATACACTTTCCACCACTATTTTCCCTTTTACAATGAGTAGAATCTTATTATCTTTATACATACACTTTCCACCACTATTTTCCCTTTTACAATGAGTAGAATCTTATTATCTTTATACATACACTTTCCACCACTATTTTCCACCACTATTTTCCCTTTTACAATGAGTAGAATCTTATTATCTTTATACATACACTTTCCACCACTATTTTCCCTTTTACAATGAGTAGAATCTTATTATCTTTATACATACACTTTCCTACACTATTTTCCCTTTTACAATGAGTAGAATCTTATTATCTTTATACATACACTTTCCACCACTATTTTCCCTTTTATACCCAATGAAAATTACCTCCGTGCACCCAGCAGAAAATGGGTACTCAGGAGATCAGGGGGTGCTAAACCAAGGGCACCGAGAACTATGGGCAGTCTGACGACAGTGTACTTGGGATGCAAGCGATACATTTAAAAGGCGAGGTCCACAACTTTGCATGCCTTTCCTAAATCTTGCCAGTCACACTGCTGTCAAAAGGGAGGGAAATTCAATGATATAAATAAATTCATTGGTGTTATCAAAAAGGGCAAGATCAGGTTTGTTGGTTGGACTTCTTTTGAGAGTGTAAATGGGCCTAATCTGTCATTTTCCATGGCGCCCAGGACTTGTTCAGGGTCGTTCCATGGAAGGACCTCAGAGTCAAAGCCATAGGCATGGCGAAGACGGTACCTGGTGTAGTCCCATCACTGTACCGTCCAGCAGTACATTGCCATCAACAAAATCAACCTCAAATTTCAGATTCTGTTCCAACAACCTTGGCACGCTTAAGATATCTGTGGAATTCATTGCATTCACCATGAGTCTTGACATACATCACCAGAGGATCATAAGATAAATAAATATGTGGAAAAGTACACAATAAACTGCTATCATGAAGAGCCTCCACATTAATCAAACCCCAACCTCCCTAATTGATTGCCTTATATAAACGATTAAGAGAGAAACGAGGGTGGTATGCTCCTTCTAATCAGGCGGTCAAGACTCTAAATGTCGTGCTTTGTCCAAACAACTACTCCAAAGGAATAAGAAAGGGCTAGCACAGCAAAAGTATTGGTGGCTTTGGCTTTGTTTCGAGCATTTAGCTCTGATTTTTTTTAAGCGAGGTTTATACTCAGCCCGACGTTTGTCTTCAATCTGGACATTTGGGAGCTTGTCCCGAACTTGCATTCTAAGATAGGTGTAGGCCTGATCTTCCACAAGATGCACAATAACTCCTCCAGCTATACCATGACCGATCCATCATTAATTACTTTGCCACGTTTCAAATGAAGATTATTACATTTGTCGAGTCCGAATCCCAAGCCAATAACATTAAGAAACACTCGACAAGTTATTATGACAAAAGGACACCACTCACCATTGTTGTAAAATATATTTATTTATTTCCGACTTATCTGGCATTTTCACTTAGAGTTACTTTTCAGATATTTATCGATAATCGATATTTAGTTAACGATTATCGATCTCTATGATGCATAAAAATAGCAAGCCCTAGAATCGTATCATCAGTATTACACTTTCCATCACTACGAGGAATGTTATCATCATCATTATTGCAGCAGATGCATGTTACGACACTGCGTGCCACCAGAGGCCATCTGAGGGACTTGAGGAAAGATTACAGAATGTCAGGCGGTCTGCAGTAACTGTGGATACAGCTGTCAGGAATGACATCATGAAGATTCTGAATGTCCAGCCTTCTGGCAAGCGAGTCCTCATAATAACAGGTGCGTCGTCTGACCACTTCCTGGAGTCACAGGGTTTGATTCAGAGCCTTCACCAGAACGTCTTTCCTGAACTGAACAACTACACTTTTGTGTACTACGATCTTGGGCTTAAAGCAAAGCAGATCCAACAGGTAAATATGTCTAGACATCTCAGATAGAATCCAATAAAATCTCAGAACAGACATGTCAAATGACCATTGTTTATTATGTTTAACAGATTAAAGATGATAAATGCAGCAGAGAGGGTTCGGGTGATCCTGGCCCAGTCAGGCTGGTAAGGCTCATCATCAGCTCAGGGCCCTTGCCCCCTCTACACACAGCCCAGACAGACAGTGAATGGAACTTTTCCCAGGAAACACTGCCTAGTCGAACCCACCAAGAACTTTCCGGAGAATATGAAGGCTCCCCAACACTGCAGCCTTCTGCATTATACACAGTGTCAGAAAGGGCTGTGCTCCCGTCGGAGAACCCGGGCACTCTCCTGATCTGTGCCAAGAGATCAGGAGGTACCAAGCCAAGGGCACCGAGAACAATGGGGAGCCTGACGACAGTGTACTTGGGATGCAAGCGAGACATTTCAAAGGCGAGGTCCGCATATTTATCATGCTTTTCCTGAATCTTGCCAATCACATTGCTGTCAAAAGGGGCAAAAAATTCATTGAAATAAATAAATTCATTGGCTTTATCAAAAATGACAAGATCAGGTTTGCTGGCAGGAATTCTTCTGAGGCTGTATATAGGCCTATTCCACAAAAGTTTAAAAGCATCATTTTCCATGACGCCCTGGACATGTTCAGGGTCATACCATGGATGGACCTCGGAGTCAAAGCCACAGACATGGCGGAGACCGTAGTAAAAGCAAAGAGCCATGCCATCGTGTTGTTTAAGATATGCTGTTTGTGCCAAAGAAGCGCATCCACTGACAAGGTGTTGGACAGTCTCATATTGATATCTTTTTTAAGAGTCACATTTTGGCGATTACGACTGGGAAGTGACTGGTCCTGAGCAGCAAAAAGGAAGCCCTTCAGTTTCACTTTTAAGACCAGCCGACTTCATCCACGTGAAGGAGTCGGTGGGATTGCTACTCTGTTCCACACACTGCATGTACATACGATGCAATGGTTTTTCAGAAAGCTTCTCCGCAAAAGAAGTCTGGGCAGACTTGGTGAAGGACTTCGCCTAGTTTACTCCCATCGCTGTACCGTCCAGCAGTACATTGCCATCAGCAAAATCAACCTCAAATTTCAGATTGTGTCCAACAACCTTGGCACGCTTAAAACAGCTGTGTAATTCCTTGCTTTCACCATGAGTCTTCATATGCATCACCAGAGGATCATCCGATAAATAAATATGTGCAAAAGTACAAAAAAGAATTCTATCATGAAGAGCCTCCACATTAATCAAACCCTGACCTCCAGAATTGACTGGCATATATAAACGATTAAGAGAGGAGCGAGGGTGGTTGGCTCTGTTATCAGACATGATCCTTCTGGTCAGGTGGTCAAGACTCTGGATGTCTTGGTTTGTCCAATCAACTACTCCAAAGGAACAGGAAAGGACTGGCACAGCAAAAGTATTGGTGGCTTTGACCTTGTTTCAAGCATTTAGCTCTGAGCTCCAGATTTTCTTTAAGCGAGATTTGTACTCGGCCCGAAGTTTTTCTTGAATTTGGGCACTCTGGAGTTTGTCTCGAACTTGCATTCCAAGATAGGTGTTATGATTATCATTGTAGGATATTTATATAGTGCACATATCCAGGCAACTAGTGCATGCTCACGGCGCTGGTACTTTTTTTTCCCTCAATCATTAGATGTCAATCTCAACAGCACATCATACGTATTATCAATCTCAACACCCTGGGGAGTATACAACTCTTGCAGCCACTAGGCGCACCGGGTTATTGTGGCTTTCTCATCCTTACTTATATTTATAAGGTGGTTTCTATTCAAAAGCATATGATCAACATATCAGTAATTTATGATTCATATTCTATCCCCAGCTCTGGCAGAGACGATATTTGAATCTTCCTTATTGGCCTCCAACAAAATTAAATGGGAACGGGTCCATTGAAAGTCCAAGTGATTTTGACGTCATTGCAACGTCACTTTTTGTTTCCCTTTGAGTAACACACGTGTAACTACTATATTCATATGGAAAGAAGCCAGCTGGAGATGGTGAACAAACATGCTCATACTCACCTATACGTTGATTATATAAAGTTTAGGCAAATAATCAGGAACTGAGCACATTTGTATTTCTCCGTGACCGCAGTTATTGACACTGGGAAGCAATGTATACACAGTAGATATCCACCTGTCATAACTTGGAATACATGGTGTAATCTATACTATACACAGGCAGCCTGAGCTAAACATTTGGTCGTAGCTTCATATAGTGGTAAATATCAGTACTAAGCAATAAACGTTGTATATTTATGATGGGAGCGTTTGGCACGTGGCTGAGATGGCATTAATATGGAAGAAAAGGAGGGCATCGCAGTTTTTAATGTATAATTCTTCAAATAACTAAAGATTTTAGATTTGGTTTCATTCAGTAAAGTAGGTTGTGCATTATTGAAGTGCAGTTTTATTTGTACAAATTGGCCCGAGACACAACTCAGAAAACTAAAGTGTAGTCTACCATACTGCTAACAATTGGCGAGTCCATCTGCGGTAACAGGCATGGCATCTATCAAGCAGGCTGTCCATATATGTGATATGTATAGGTGAGGTGAGGTGACATTGGGTTTAACGTCGTGCTTGAGAATATTTAGCTCATATGACGACGTGCATGCATGTGTATGTGTATGTGCGGCTGCATGTACTAGCCCAGACTCAAGCTGGTTTTATAGTGCTAGCTCACTGAGATACCATGCCGCAGTGAAGCATGAATACCCCACTCAGACACAGTATACTGACTCCGAGCCGACCAGTCCTTGTTGTACCAATTAATGCCGAACGCCAGGCAGGGACAAACAAGTACCATATTTTAACGTCTTTTGGTATGACGCGGTCGGTGATCGAACCCGCGACCTTCCGCTCTCCGGGCCGATGCTCTAACCACTACACCACGGAGGCGGTCTGTGATATATATAGGTGTACACACGTTATTGTAAAAAAAACCATTAAATACACAGTCAAACATAAACTCTTCCCCGAACTCTCTCAAAAAAAATGATATTCATGCGCGTACAATTTTTATCTCTAATTTTTTATTTTCCTTAAAATAAACAAGAAGTTGTTAGCCACAAAGTAGTATTCTTCATTATTGACTCACCAACTTCCAGAATGCCGATCATACAACGTGATGACCTATACTTAAGTAGTGGTCAGTAGTTTCTGTACTCATGTCAGTGAGATCAATCAGGAAAACGTTGACACAAATTATTCCTGTTCATGTCCGAATTGACTACAATAATACATCATCAATCTTAAAGAGATAGGCAGGAGATCGTAACTGTTGATATTGTGATCTCTCGATCTCCGCACTAGCCGAATCTAATCACAAACACGGGCAAAGAAAATATAACATTACCTTCCGTCTCATTTCAGTTGAAAAAGCATTGCCAGTGCGAGGTACGACGGTTTCCTGTAGAGAAGATGCCACCCATGCACCAAAAGCTCAGATGTTACACGTGGAAAGCATTCATCATCGAGGTAACAGTGTGAGCAAGTTTAGTTTTACGCCGACTTTAAAATAGCACCTGAAATGGGCTTCACACATGTGAGGCATTCAGCCTGGCGAGCGATGGCTTTAACCACAAAGTTACCCCACCGCACCTCAAAGTTCACGGTATGTGGCAAACTGTAGTCTGTGGCAAACTGTAGTCTGTGGCAAACAGTGTTCTGGGAACATCGCTTGAACGAGCCATCTGGAAACACTTCATCATCGTCATCATAGTACAGACGATAGGGGTACTGGATCACGACCCCCATTGGCTATACTACTCCAGTTTTCAGTGATCTAGGATGCGCTGGAAGGTACAATGTAAAGAGATGTGTATGTTTCTGCAATCGCATATATTCAAGATCCAAAATAGATAAGTGAGGCCATAATTATAATGGTTGCATGAATAAAGTACAAAGAAAAGATACAGGAATACAGAACAGTGAGGAAGTGGACATAGGAGACATGAGAGAGTAAGATTTGAGGGAACCATGGATGTGTCAAATATGATTCGCCCTCCAATATCCCATCCCCCCAGTGTGTCCACACCAGCCACACTGTTGGAGCGTCAACAAGCAATCGTTGGGAGTGCAATTCAGTTGCGATATAAATTTCACTAATATCTGAAAATCAACGTCCAAAATCAGGGATGATGGCTTTGCTGCTATTTAATGTCCTGTGAGGAGAAACCTCAACATGAACACTTGTCAAAGATTTTCTTTTGAACAGAATCTTTGATTGTATTTGTTTCCATCACCCAATTAGCAGAATAACCAGATCAGAACTTTTTAATTTCTCTCACCTCACCGACCAAACCTTCAGTGCCCTTAAGAGAGACACCATGAGGGGTACACATAACACTAATACAAAGCCAGTTATCACGGTTGGTGAAAGTTAATTGAGCTTCATCCTCTGTGGATCTCCAATAGACGACACGAAAGATACCAGGAGGTAACACACGAGCTGGAAAATATCTTGAAAAGATATGTCCTACCAAATTGGCCCATGAACATAGGACTCTAGGCAAATTAACCAACCAGTAATGTGTAGTTTCATGCACGAGATAATGGCCAAGATCAAATGGTATATTTCAGAAAAATAGAAATGTGTCCAAAATACTCAGCACAGGGCTTGGCATAACATGCTAATTGATAGGAGCCAGCCCACTGCACCAAGTATTGGTGGAAGTGGTGTATTGGGCAAGGAATGCTATTCCTGGAACCAGTGCCCTAAACCAGCACAATACTGTCCTCTGACGACACAGGGGCGCAACTCAGGTTGCCCAATTCACTCAGGCCGCAATGACAAGTGAGGTACACGCTCTTTTCAGACAATCATGGTGCATTTACCAGTCAGGTGGTACACACACGTACGCACGCACACATGCATACATATAAAACATACAGCATGCCGTCGGTTTTATTACTTTCAGGCAAACATCCGATTGGCGGACATTTTGATTTGGGCCGATGCATCTGTACGATTTCATAAGTCGACAATTGGACCACTTCTCAAAGAAGCCAACGCAAAGGGCATCATGATGGAAGCGGGATTATACCCCTTCTCAGTCTCCGACCATGTGCAGAAAATAATGTTTGATTATTTCGCTGAACAGACCTGCTATTTCGCACAAGTGGGCGAGATGCAAGCAACGTTTCTAGTTTTTAAAAACGAACGTTTCATTAGAGAGGCCATACTGAAGCCTTGGCTAGCCTGTGCCTTGGATTCCAGATGCATGTGTCCTTCAGACCCAGAGAAACTTCTAATGTGTAACATAAACGTTAGAAAATACAACAAATGTCACAGGTTTGACCAAGCAGCTCTGAATATAATTCTAGCCAAGTTGTTCTGGGGCTATGAGCAATCATTTACTCCATCTAGAAAATATATTGATGTAAACAGAGATGGTAAAGTTCACTATTTTGATCACTTGTAAAAACAAATGCTCAATAAAATTTCGTTACACTTGATAACACTTTCGTTTCCTGGAAATATGCCAAGCAGTACAAAAAGGTGAGTGAGTGAGTTTAGTTTTACGCAGCACTCAGCAATATTCCAGCTATATGGCTATATGGTAATCGAGTCTGGACCAGACAATCCAGTGATCAACAGCATGAGCATCGATCTGCGGAATTGGGAACCGATAGCATGCGTCAACCAAGCCAGCGAGCCTGACCACCCGATCCCGTTAGTCGCCTCTTACGACAAGCTTTGGTTACAGAAAGTTCATTCTAACCCGGACCACCACGGGTCCAGTACAAAAAGAATCAGCAAATTTATCGGTAACTTCCTTGACACAAACGGTGCTGGAGACGCAGTTACAGAGATCCTTGATGTTTAAAAGAAGTCTTGAACACAGTTACACTGTCACATTCATCCGATACCCTATACAATATTCCCTGAAACTGCAGGAAAACAACTCTCTATGTGTAAATATTTTAACAAATATACTTGTGATTTCCAAATGCTGAACCACATCTCGGTGATGTGGGATGGTGTACTATATATGCTATATCACTAAACATGTGGTAACTTGGTGACAGATATATACAACGTAGCAGACAATCAGTGAGTGTGAGTGTGAGGGAGGGGTTGAGTTGAGTTGAGTTTGGCTGTACGTCACATCGGCATTATTCCAGCCATATAGTGACGAGAACAAGTCTGCATTAATAAACAGTGTAACTACAGAGTCACAATGTGTTTTATTTCAAAAACATATATTCATTACATTGTCATTTAAAAGCAGAAAAAGTCATAGCACTAAATTTAAAGGCAGGCAGGAGCGAGCAAGTGTCAATGGTTTAGTTATATTGTGACGAGAACAGATTTGACATTAAAAAGGAACATATTTGCACAATAACACGAATCGTATATATCACAGATAGGATAAAAGGCTTTATGGGGACTATATATTATTGAAAACAATCTTAAACGATATGAATACACATGTCAACAAAGGAGAGTGAAATAACTAGAATATCACAGATTGACATTTAAAACTAGCACGTAGCCATGTAAAGGCATTTGTTTAAAGGACAGAATATATAATCGGGCTACAGATCGCCAGCAGCTGAGGGCAGAACACCATACTATAGACCAAGGGGCCTAACACTAGTTTTGCTACCGGCATGGGCTGGATTTACACCATCCATTCACGTGTTGGTGATTATGACAAATTCAATCATGAATTCTACGATTAACAATGTGATGGGATTAAACATACTTTGATAGATGTATTTTACATACACATGAACTTGAAATTACTTTAAAAATGTTCTATCAACTGAGGTAAACCTCCTCTCAAAACCAAAATCGTGTAAATCCTTTTGGTCTGTTTGTTTGTTTATTCATTCAAAGACCACAGGCCCATAGGACCTACATTCACCTCATATACACATTTTGTTATACATCAATCTATAAACGATGAATACATTTCACAAGGAAGTACTATAGTAATACACAATACATGAAAATAACGTTATTGGTGTTCCGATGAGTAAAGTCATTCTAAAAATACATACTCACTTAAATTTAACAATGTTTGAGGACATGTGAAACTGATAAAATTAACAAATGCATCAACAAAAGGATATTCATGGTGTGCAGGGTGAAGATATGATTTTCGTAGATATGAAAAGGTTTTGCACACAAGAAAGAAATGGAATTCATTTTCAACTACATCTATTCCGTAGCGGCTGCAGTGTGTACATTATCTGCTTTCTTCTTAACATGCTTCCAGATAGTAATGCTGGTTACATCTTATGGCATTTTAACAAATGACTCCATGCGAACTAAATTGTCAACAACACTCCGATTTTTCTTAAATCCACAATGGATATTTGAGGGTATATCATTAGATCCTAAGTACCATGAAAATTTATTCTTGACCATGCGTTCCAAAATCATATGTTTGCAACGACATGAAATGTTTCAATCATGCACAATAAGTCCCGGACAAAACACTGTCTTGTGGGACATCCTGATCCTGGTAATAAACATAAGAAAGGGTTGAATCCCTGCGGACTTGAAATTGCCTGTTAGTCAAAAAGTTCTATATACTTCGAGGCAAACGACCTCGTAATCCAAAATTATGTGAATATTTTAAAGCACCATGTTTCCATGGAGTATGGTATGGCTTTTCTAAATCGAAAACGATACACTTCATTTTGGCTATTCATGATTGCAATTTTAACAAATGACTCCCAGCGTTCTTCGATTTTTCCTGTATCCACTCTGAATATTTGTAAATTAAATTATTGGATTCAAAGTACCATATTAATCATTTGTTGACCATTCTTTCCATACTTTCTCAAACACAGCTGATTAATGAAAGGTCTATACTTTAAGGGATCCGTAAGATCCCGTTTAGGTTTGGAAATAACACTTACTATTGAGCCTCGCCATGAAGATCGGATATACTGACATATAGATAGCGGATAGTTCCAGACCTTCTCCGTCGTTTCTCTTTGGTGGAAGTTCAGGAGTATCAACTCTTGAGCCAGCTGGTTCACAGCGATGCGTGGGACGCCACTGATGGCATCATCGATTCTGTTGATCGTTTAGTAGGAAGGAAGAAGTTTCATCATACAGAGCAACATTGCATTTATCCCATACACTGTACCATGTTCAAAATTCATCCCTATTCAATCAGGTCAGAGGCACCCGTGAAGAGCCACCTCCTCGTGGTGGGTGCTGGGTAACGCTAAGCGCTCTTCAACCCCCCGTGTGGACCCAGGGGAATATTTGGTCCACCAACCTGTTTGCCGTCGGTTGCGCCCATGTGTCGGTGGAGGACGGGATTCTGGTGGTTGAGGGCACTGGTTCCAGGAAGAGCGTTCCTTTGCCCAACACACCACTTCAGCCTTTACTTCACCTAGACGGGTGGTAGAACTGGCCCGGTTCTATCAATCGGCTGGTCACGCCATTCCTCAGCAATTATTGTACATTTTTGACAATGAATGTTATTCTTTGAACTTATTATACTATGCATGTTTGCCCTGAGTCCTATGCTAGAAGGCGGTTGCTCATGGGCCAATCTAGTGATGTTGACCTCCGAGTATTGTATGTCTCACATTCCTTGTCATGGGCCGAACCAGCCTGGCATTGAATTGGTAGACAAATACAGCTATTCGTGTCATATTCTCTGGAGTTTACCATCCCTGTATCCCTGGTGTCAGCATCTTGGATATCCGGTGCAATTGAACACCGTCCTTGTTGACACTCCATGGTGGGTGGGGAGCTTTGACGACAGGTTTATATGATATACACCTGTTTCATTTCAATGTCCAATATGTTCTCGTCACGATATGGTTGAACTATTGCCGATGTGACATTAAATATTAACTCACTCACTCAATCAAGTGTTGGTGAGGATCTAAGATCCAATTGCCATGGAACAAGTCTAACGTCATTAATATCAAATTGTATTTATGTTATTACACTGTGTAATGGCAGAGTTATTTGTAACGGTAAGTGGTCCTCCTATAGTTATTGACCATGAACACTCACCTCATAAAATTAAACACATGCTTGTTTGTTAATTGAAATATGTGTTTCAACATAGTTTTACAATCACATAGCCCCGTGTGTGTTGGACAACATTTAACGTATGCTAAATAAACCATTTTTCATCATCAAGAATAGAGGGCTAAAACAGTCGAGCCGGTAAAAGACCGATAGTCCTGGTTGTGATTTGTAACTGTGTCGGTGATCAGGAAGTTAAGTTAAATCTTTAAAAATCTGAGTTGATATCCGAGCGGGGAGTCGCTTATATTGTTAAAGCAACTTATGATGACAGACTTCACTTCATGATTCATCATTATCCAAGGAGATCACCTCAGTCAACATCAATGCAAAGTTTTAAAAACACCCCGCTAAAGTCAAGATCTAATGGGTCTTGTATGAGGCAACAAGCCAGGCTGTTGTATGATTAATATAGTGTTTTCGTCTATATTGTAAGTCCATGTGTTACATGCGGGGAGTATGATCACCATAATATGCCAGTAACAACTGCTAAAATTTAATAATAAATCAATAAATATAATGCATATGCTGTGCAGGCAGACAATATGTCAGTTTATAAATATACTAAGCAGCAAAAAGAAGCGTCACTTTGGAATTTCCTTTGCATAAACGTATGACTGTAAACTCATTTAATGTTTTGATTGTATATTTTTGGCAACATCTCCTGAGCAAAGACATCCCTTCCCAAATTTACAATGGAACCCAGGAAATAGTCTCAAAAACGCAACCTGACCTCGGAGATGGTACAGTGTTCTCCATGTTTGTCATTCACCTCATGCTGCACGTGCTGTTCACAAGGACCAATCCTATAAAATGCACCACCTAAACCTGGTTGAAGCATTTACATTACAACGTCAGCATGATGCCACGACTCGCGACAGCTGAGAGGAACCAGGCGCTTAGAAGACTTGAAGCTGGCCACACTGCACAAGCCGTTGCCAATCACTGCCAGGTCAACGTTCGGACCACCTACAGGCTGCAGCAACGTTTCCGGGCCACCAACACCACACATGATCGCTCCCGTATTGACAGACCAAGGGTTACCACAAGACGACAAGACCGCCATGCTGTGCGACAGCATGGACAGAATCCCTTCATGCAGGCATCCGAAACAGCACGCCAGACAGTGGGAACACACGGAAGACCAATCAGTACTGATACAGTAGACCTTACCATTGACCTATCCTCACCCCTCGTCATCGGCGTGAACGTCTACAATGTGCCTGACAACACCAAAACTGGCGATACAGGCAATGGAGACATGTTCTGTTCACAGATGTGAGTCGGTACCGGTATCAACTGCAGATGGCAGAACAAGAATATGGCGACGACGTGGCCAGCATTACTCAGACCAATGTGTTATGGAAAGAGACTCATGGTGAGGTTCAAGCACCATGGTATGGGGTGGAGTAGGCGTGAACCAGAGAGTGGGTCCTGTGGTGTTCCAGAACTTTGGTCCAGGGAGAGGAGGCGACATCACAGCGGTGCGCTACTTCGACCAAGCTCTCAGAGCCCACGTCATACCACATTTCGCACGTCACCGGAACAACACTTTCCAGTATGATAACGCCTGGGCCCATACTGCCACAGCTATACGGGACTTCCTACAGCAGAACGGTGTCAAAATTATGCAGTGGCCAGGCCTTAGTCCTGATTTAAACCTAATTGAAAATATTTGGGATGAAGTTCAGAGGAGACTGAATAATGTCATACCAAGGCCGAACACAGCCGATTTGTTGCGCCAGGCCTTTCTCAGAGTGTTGTTCCAGGTGCCAACGGCCTTCATCAATCGATGGGTGCACTCCATGCATAGACGCTGTGCTGCAGTTATTGCCGACCGTGGTGGTCACACTAGATACTGAAGTCAAGAGTCTGAATGGACTGCAAATGTTCACGTAATGTCTTGAAATTGTGCTGAGTTATTCATTGATGTGTCAAGATATTGCACACAAAACATGTTTTTGATCCGCTTATTATGTCAGTTTCTGTAATGATTTGATTACAGTGCCTATCTAGTTTTGAATTCGTACTGACGTGTTGTTTTTTGCTTCTGAGTATACATTGTGATATCTCGAAAGTAAGGACGTTCTTTTAGCCATGAAGCTTTGTACGTTTTGCGACCTATGAAGATCCGGTTTGCAATTTATCTTCAGCAACCCATGCTTGTTGTAAAAAGGCGACTAACGGGATCGGGTGGTCAGGCCCGCAGGTTTGTTTGACACATGTCACTGTATCCCAGTTGTGTAGACAGATGCGAATGATATTGATCACTGGATTGTCTGATCCAGTCTCGATTATATACAGACCGCCGTCCAACAGCTGGAACATTTCTGAGTGCGGCGTTAAACATCAACAAACAAACAAACAGTACGTGTTCAGCAATGGATAAAAAAGGTACATAAGCATAGCAACGAGGTACGTGGATGGTAAAATATATTATAGACGTTACAGAGGGCTACTGTCGCGTATGGAAACGTCTTGGCAAGACATATCACCAGGAGATGGTCCATGAATCATTTGGTGGTGGCTCAGTGATTGGGTGAAGTTGCATTTCGTGTGAGTGCAATTTCGATCTCATTATGGAATCAATAGCCAACGTCATAGAGTGATAGTATTGGGTACATTCGTCGTGCCACATTTTGATAACTATCCCCTTGCTAATCGGCCGAGTTTCATGGTTGACAGCGATAGATCTCAGCGCCGGGGTAACAACACCATAATATTGTCATGAATTACGAACCCCATCGAACAGGTTTGAGAATGTAATGGACGACCGAGCTGGAGGTCTGCTTATTTCAGTGTCATTCAGTCGACTCCTCAACCAACAATATATGTGTCTCAACCGAATTTGTGTGACAATGGCAAATCTGACACGTCACCCCTCGCACAGGAATTCTTTGGTAACCTGCCTCCTGACTGTAACAATGTCCTGTTTACTAGTATTGGAATAATACTAAAATGTCAATTTTTCTGTAAAAAAAGGTCGATATTTAAAGGGAACTATTCGAAGGTCATAGTGGGGTTAAATTATAGTTGTAGGGCTATGTAAGTTCGGTTTTCCAACTTTCATACATCGCAGGAAGAAAGCAGGATCAATATCTCGCAAATGTGAAATGTTCAGCATGGTAGTCTGCTGACAAAATTAGCAACAAAATCTATTGTGCAGAACATGCCAAGGCAACCCGCTTGTATAACACGATGGGGCATCGATTAAACAACATTATCTCTGTACATTCGATCAGGACTGCTTACAAAGCAGACCTGCTGTTGTTTTATAGGGAGCTGTCACCATGCATTCCTGTCATGTAATTTCGCAGATGAGAAAGTCTCATTCAGGATGATGTGGCAAGGCGGAATTCTTGGGTGGTTCGTACTGTTTTCACTGTGTTCAGTGTGCTTGGACGCTGAAGGTAAGAATTGACTTTTACACGCTTTGACATCCGAGCCGCATGCATACATCATTCGGTTAAACGATTCTAGGTTGCAAAAAAACAACTCTTTTCAATACATTACAAAGAACATTTCCAAATTTGTCACCTCACCAAAACTTTCTTGCAACCACAAACAATATATCATCTGGAACTGTATTTTGGTGGACGATCCCGTCAAACATTTCATGGAAGTCGTTGAGTGAGATCACCTCTTCCCCTTCAGAGGAGAAGACAGCACGGTCAACAAATGGAAATGTCTGGAAGTCTGTCCTGTCCGAGTCATCCGACTCCTGATTTCTGTCCTGTACGAGTCATCCGACTCTTGATTTCTGTCCTGTACGAGTCATCTGACTCTTGATTTCTGTCCTGTACGAGTCATCTGACTCCTGATTTCTGTCCTGTACGAGTCATCCGACTCCTGATTTCTGCCCTGTACGAGTCATCTGACTCTTGATTTCTGTCCTGTACGAGTCATCTGACGCCTGATTTCTGTCCTGTACGAGTCATCTGACGCCTGATTTCTGTCCTGTACGAGTCAACTGCACAGAAGATTCAAGCTCTTTCCTTTGATTGACCGAGTATTCCAGGTCCTCGTGGAAAGGTATCCTGCCCCACCGGTGGCACCCTTCATAGATACATGCGATCGCACGTCCCTTTGTTGACATGGAAAGATAAAACGCCAGTGCAAAGGAATACCCATCTGTTACTACCCTCAGGAATGTGTCTGGTGTAGGACTAAGATATAGCTTTGGAAATCACAAGAATGGACCACTGAAATCAATGATGAGCTATGGTTTTGGCGAAAAGGGTAAGCGAGTCCTGCCCTACCGGTAGCATCCCAATTCACACAATTTGGTACAAAATGAAATTATATACATCCAAGGAAAACCAAGAAAACGAATTGTACTGGTTAAAATAGGAAATAGGTGTAACTAAATAAATGAGATAATGTTGTAACTGTCAAATTTCAAAGTGTCCTAAACATGACAAGTATGAAACATTTTGAGAACTGTACTGAGGCCTTCAGTGTTGTAATCTTGATCTCCTGGTAATGGAGCATTCGCGATCGTGCCTAAACAGCTGTGAAATGCAAACATTAAAATGAGTGAGTGAGTGAGTTAAAATTTGACATCGCATCGGCAATATTACAGCAGATATAGCGATGAAAACAAGGTAATCGTTTGGAAATATCTGTCGACAAAGGACAGTAAAACCAACTAGGCTATCACAGATCTATCTATCTATCTATCTATCTATCTATCTATCTATCTATCTACCTATCTACCTATCTATCTATCTATCTATCTATTAAAACTAGTATTGAAATCTAAATTAATTTAACTATAGAGGACGATACAATATAAGAACAACTGAAGGTAGATCACCATACCAGGGACCATGGGGACTTAAAGTACCCTTGCTACCTGCATGGACCCTAGCTAGATTTACACCATCCCTTTTGCTGCTGGCGATTGTAGTCAAATATAGCCATAATCTAAAATTACAAAAATACTACGTTAAAAAAATATGGTAATTATAAATTTATCTTGAATGCTTTGGGACATACGTACCCCCACAGGAGGACAATAATTTTACAATACTTTAACCCCCTGAGAGGATACAGCCACTAACAATCTAAGTTGTTAATTTCAATTACCCTTAATAAAATATAGATCTATATACAAAACATATCTTCAAAATTTATCAAGTAATTCTATTTCTTTTAAAATTCAAAATTAAATGATAATTAACATTAACAAGATTCATCACTGTTTTGACATTAAAATACTTATCCCTTGTGATGGAAAAATCAATACAGTCAAGGCAAACATTAGAGGCTGTACCTACAGCAATAGTCCATGAAGGGAGGGCTGACGACTGGAAGTCATATACCTTTTACATTCTTTTGTAGAAGAGTTTTGACACACTGATTATTTATGCATGGATCTAAATATGAACAAGATAAGGCTGTGTCAGTCGTTTCATTCAAAACGACAATTCCGGAATATTTTGGAACATATAATCGTCCTTCTTTTGAAATTAATTATCGTGGCAAAGATGCATTAGTTAGGTTAAGTATATTATGAATCAGGTGTTTCCTTTTCCTGTCAGATAATGAGAGATATACACATAATGCAATCTACCACATAATTCCGTTTAATTAAAAGATCTGGTTCCAAGTTTGATTCTCCAAATGGTATGGTTCGTAATATGGCAATGGACTTAATCTGCTATCATTAACGGTGGAAGACAACAGCACGAGTAATGTCAAGCGATCGTTACTTGATCATCTTGACACATGTGTGGTAAATCTATGTCTGTAGTCGATATCGTGCTTATTAAGGTGTGATTTCTTACATTATTAAGGTTTGATTTCTTACATTATTAAGGTGTGATTTCTTACATTATTAAGGTTTGATTTCTTACATTATTAAGGTGTGATTTCTTACAACAAAACAGGTATATCATGTCCGGCGGATTTCCATGAAGTTTCCGGATCCTGCTACTGGTATTCAGACACGAAAGCATCGTTTAAAGATGCCACAGTAAGTTCCAATTCTTCTTTATGTATCGCTAGACATGATACAAAATAGACCCCTTGCATATATCATACTCTTGTACCTAAATAATGGGATACAGACTTGTTGGCATCAAAATGCGCACGGATGGGAACACGAGACATGCGAGATTTCGTGGATTTACAATTTCGGCTTGATTACGTTTCTAGCATTGGCCCAATCTGCGTTTTCCTCACTTAGCACTTCACAGGCTTCCAATAATGTGGAGAGTCTATGGCTAGAGAAACCATGCCTGTCTCCCTGATGTTACACAATGCGATGTATCTCCCTGTATGATAATAACAATAATGGATATTTATAAAGCTCCTGTTTCCACGCACTTGTGCATTATCACCTCGGATATCCCACCTGTGAGGTGCTAGATGGTTAAAAGTCATATGACTTATCCCACCGGGTACCCATTCACTGCTCGTTGAACAGAGACAATTCATGAACTCACTTGGAACACACACCACCGAAGTTGTCGGTGTGATATCTCCAGTTGCATGCCTTCTTCACAGTTACAAGTACCTGGAATGATATCCTCCTGTTTCACAATGTATGTCTCCCTATAGGATCTCCAAGATATGATATCTCCGGTTACACCAAGCATGTCTCCCTGTAGGATGTCCTAGATATATACCTTTATCTCCAGTTACATCATACTTGTTTCCCTGTAGGATGTCCTAGATATGATGTCTCCAGTTACACCACGCATGTCTCCCTGGAGGATGTCCTTGATATGATATCTCCAGTTACACCACGCATGTCTCCCTGGAGGATGTCCTTGATATGATATCTCCAGTTACACCACGCATGTCTCCCTGTAGGATGTCTCCCTGTAGGATGTCCTTGATATGATATCTCCAGTTACACCACGCATGTCTCCCTGTAGGATGTCTCCTTGTAGGATGTCCTTGATATGATATCTCCAGTTACACCACGCATGTCTCCCTGTAGGATGTCTCCCTGTAGGATGTCCTTGATATGATATCTCCAGTTACACCACGCATGTCTCCCTGTAGGATGTCTCCCTGTAGGATGTCCTTGATATGATATCTCCAGTTACCCCGCATGTCTCCCTGTAGAATGTCCTACATATGATATCTCCACTTACACCACGCATGTTTCCCTGATGGAAGCCCATCATAAGATATCCCGCAGATGCATTACGCTTGTCAGGCTGACACGTGGCGATCCTTGTACTACATTCTGTATTTCTCCAGGTGCAGTGCCGGAAAATGAGCAGTCGCTTGGTCGTTGTTGCAAGCCCTGAGGAGACTGCGCTCCTCCACTCCAACATATTGCTTCAAGGAAAAGGTAATTGTTTTGTTTAAACTAAGACAAAATCATGCTATTTTAACACATTGTGTTCAGCTTGACAACAGATAACAATATAGTTCACATTTGAAATTTCAAGCATTCCTCGGGTGAAACGATTCACCAAACTAAGCCTCTTATCACTGTCGCGGGTTGTGTAGGATGAAATGTCACGAATATTCTGTTTTCAATTGGAGTTGGCTGGGGGATATTATGCCATATCGAACTTAAAGTTCAGTCAGAATGCGGGATGATGTTGAGCGAACTGGCTAAAGCGCCAGGCTAGTGATCCAGCGAGCGTGAGGTGACGGGATCGAGCCCACCTATGACCGGGTGTAAGAACCTTGGAGTCAACTTTGTGTGCAGACTCGTTCAGTGTTGTCACAACCCCTAGTGTACAGTACACAACCCTGTGCACTTATAAGAATCCACGATTCCGTTGGTAAATGACCAGATGGTGGTCACATGAATACGTGCAAACACCTAGTTGTGGGTACAGCAACGTGCAGTAAACTATGGAGGGAGGGATGGATGATGGATGGATGGATGGATGGTAATGGATGGATGGATTGATGGATTGATGATCGGACACGGACGGATGGATGGATGGATGGATGGATGGATGGACCTAGTTGGATGGATGGATGGATGGATGGATGGATGGACGGACGGACGGACGGATGGATGGATGGATGGATGGATGATGGATAATGGATGGATGTATGAACTGATGATGGTTAATGATGGATGATGGATGGATGGATTTATGGATGGATTTATGGATGGATGGATGAATGGATGATGGATGGATGGATGGAGGATGGATGGATGGATGGATGATGGATGGATTTATGGATGGATGGATGGATGAATGGATGGGTGGATGTAGGGTGATCGTACGTTGTAAACTGTTGTTTTTTCGACTTTTCGATGACTTCGATGACTTCATCAGGAACAATTTTCAGACTTTCATCTGAGTTTAATTTCAAGGTGTTTAGATTGTTGTACAATGTCTTGGTTATTTCCAGGTTAGGCATATTCTACGTGTACATCCGTGTTTCAGCCGACGTGTACTACATTGGCGCCCGATATCAAGACAACAATAGACTTTGGATCTCAGATGGCAACAAACCGACCACTACGCCGACGACGAGGAGCACCACCGACCTCAAGTGCGTTGTCATGCGCGTACAACAACGTGTCAGATGGTATAATGCTGACTGTAACGATAAGATCCGTTTCATTTGTCAATTCCAATAATAAACTGAAAGTATCCGATGCACCGAAGACGGGCAAAACGATTCGGTCTTGTGTCATGCTGTTCCAATGCTATCATGTTTACACATTCAACTGTTTACATTACGGGTGGACATTCAACTGTTTACATTACGGGTAGTCATTCAACTGTTTACATTACGGGTAGTCATTCAACTGTTTACATTACGGATGGGCATTCAACCAGATACATTACAGGTGGACATTCAAGTGTTTGCATTACTGGTGGACATTCGGGTGTATATATTACGGGTGGACATTCAACTAGAAACATCACTGGTGGACATTCAACTATAAAAATTACTGGCGGACATTCAGGTGTATACATTACGGGTGGATATTCAACTAGATACATTACAGGGGGACATTCCGTTGTATATATTACGGGTGGATATTCAACTAGATACATTACTGGTGGACATTCAGGTGTATACATTACGGGTGGATATTCAACTAGATACATTACAGGGGACATTTCGTTTTATACATTACGGGTGGATATTCAACTAGATGCATTACTGGTGGACATTCAAGTGTATACATTACGGGTGGGTATGCAACTAGATACATTACTGTTGGACATTCAAGTGTATACATTAAAGGGTGGACATTCCACTAAATGCATTACTGGTGGACATTCAACTAGAAACATTACAGCGGTACATTCAGCTGTATACGGGTGAACATTCAACTAGATACATCACTGGTGGACATTCAACTATAAAAATTACTGGCGGACATTCAGGTGTATACATTACGGGTGGATATTCAACTAGATACATTACAGGGGGACATTCCGTTGTATATATTACGGGTGGATATTCAACTAGATACATTACTGGTGGACATTCAGGTGTATACATTACGGGTGGATATTAAACTAGATACATTACAGGGGGACATTCCGTTGTATACATTACGGGTGGATATTCAACTAGATACATTACTGGTGGACATTCAGGTGTATACATTAGGTGGACATTCAGGTGTATACAACTAGATACATTACTGGTGGACATTCAAGTGTATACATTAAGGGTGGACATTCCACTAAATGCATTACTGGTAGACATTCAAGTGTATGCATTACTGTGGGCAATCAAGTGTATACATTACTAGTGGACATTCAAGTGTATACATAACGGGGTGGACATTCAACTGCATACACTGTAAACAATAATTCGCTGAAACATGGTCATAACGTCCAATGTTTGTATACTTTTCAAAAAATATGGAACACCCACTGCCTATTCCTCCGTGAATAATGACCCAATGCTGGAGATTGTCTGGATCAGGTTTATCGTCCGACGACATCATATAACTTGAATGGTGATCTGTGCGGCGTGGAACAAGGAACAAACAAACACACAGGTACTTTACAATCTCTTGAGGAATGAACATGTCAATCATCAATCATCACGCATTTTTATCGAACATTTAATCAGACGTCTCAATATAAAACTCATTTTCCTTTGACGTACATAATCTAGATATGTGCACCACACGTGCACGAATTATACACACACAGAAGTACATAGCTTGAAGCCTTAATCTTCAGCACCAGCCGGGGGTCCACACTCCCCCAAAATGACTGGGATCCCCGTTTGGATCTTCCTGGGGAAAGTTGGCGGGTACCATTTGCTTCTTATGCTCCATCATCCGGGCACGTAAAGTTTCCACAACATCCGGCATTTGGCTGGCCAGGTTCTGTTTCTCGAGGGATCAGCTGGAAGGAGAGTGCAAATAATAGAAAATCGAGGGAGATTGTTGACAGATTAAACTACAAATCCAAGATATATATATATTAGGTGGTCCAGGTTAGGACTGGTTACCTACACATATCATAGAGATCAATCATCGTTAACTAAATATCGATCGATTATCGATAAATATAAAAAAGTGTCCACAATGTCTGAAAGAAATGAATATTTATTACATCACTGGAAGGTGGTGATATGATTTTGCATGGGGTATTAGCACAACGGTGTCCTGAACATAATTTAGAATCAGGCCATGAAGAAAGTCCTACATGTGTACTAGAGCGTGAGAAAATTTAAAGCATTTCAAACTTAATGAACGATCTTATCGATAATACAATTTTCATATCGATAATCATTAATAATTTTCCCTATCGGCGACATTTCCGATTACCGACCTTTTTAGCCAGCCCTAGTCCTGGTACCATCAGGCTGGTTGGGTTTATTATCACCTCAGTAACCGTGTCCCGTTTACATACGTCATCGACAGAAAATGGGAAATAGGAAACGCTGCTCAGTCGAATCCACCAGGAACGTTCCGAAGGATGTTGGAGGGCGGTGATCCCACCTACCCCTAACTACATCCATACATACCTCCATCCATACCTCCATCCATCCATCCATATATACATGTACGTACGTACCTACCCATTACTTACACACACACGCACGTACGCACGCATACACACACACACGCACACGCACGCACGCACGCACACACACACACACATATAGTACATTACATTACATTACATACATACATACATACATACTATACATACATACATACATACATACATACATACATACATACATACATACATACATACATACATACATACATACATACATACATACATACATATAAAAATACATAAATACATTGCATACATGCATACACACATACATACATTAATTACATACATTACATACATACATGCATGCATGGATGCATGCATCACAATGTATGTAATTAATGTATATACATACATACATTGATTTTGTGTAACCTCTACCATGTCCCGTGTAAACACGTCACAGGCCGACGTCATACAACTGCATGTTGATGAGTGCCGCATTAAACATAGTACACGACTATGATACATTATGTGTGACAACCTTTGCAATATACCTGTCAGGTTAAAGAGCCACACCATCTCGTGCCTAGCATCATATATGAAGTCTTCTAGAGGCGTGTCTTCTGTGTCATTCATAGGGAGGTACCAGTTGTCATATAACCCGGGGTATCCGTCCACCAGCTTCATGTCTCCCACCCTGAAACAGACATCGGGTTGGACAAGTTCATACTAGTGGTGGTCCGATTAATTGAAATAATCGAAGATTGGTCGTAGTGACTAAACGACCAAGCAATCGATCATAATTGGTTGGTTTTGTCTGGTATATTTCATAAGCACTACAAGTTTCAAGTCATGATTGAATTTATCTTAAAGATTCCAGGAAATTTATGTTCCTAACATACTAGTCATCCTTTAAAGATATGAAATTTTGCCAAAACACCCCAAAAGAAATACATGGGTTTTTTCCTTATTTTTAAGCGCATTAACAAATTTCATAAATGATGCTAACCAATTATTTTCGATGATTGATCGGTAGTAATGAACCAATCATCAATTATGAGATTTTAACCAATTCCCAACACTAGTTCATAACATGAAGAGCACTGCTCCGTAAATGTTAGGGCCTAGCCCAGTAGGGTGCCGCAAATAGCCAGTTGCGTCTCTTTGGAACACCAACAGCGTATGGTCATGAGTTCAGCATAAAAATGTAATGTGGCTCTTGGGTGAAACTATCCCCACGTACCTGATGGCAGCATGTCCTGTGACGGGGTAGAAGTAGTCGTCCAGGTTGTAGATGAACTCAGTCCTCTTTGAAGGAAGCCCCATACGTATAGAGTCCCACTGACTTACTCCATCTATAGACGCATCTTTAACAAAAGTCAATGATACAATAGTTTATATCACTGACGTACTCCATCTATAGACGCATCTTTAACCAAAGTATATGATACAATAGTTTATATCACTGACTGACTCCATCTATAGCCGCATCTTTAACAAAAGTAAAATGATACAATAGTTTATATCACTGACTGACTCCTTCTATAGACGCATCTTTAACAAAAGTAAATGATACAATAGTTTATATCACTGACTTACTCCATCTATAGACGCATCTTTAACAAAAGTAAAATGATACAATAGTTTATATCACTGATTTACTCCATCTATAGACGCATCTTTAACAAAAGTCTTCAGTAACCCATGCTTGTCAAGGATATCTGTAACTGCGTCTCCAGCACCGTTTGTGTCAAGGAAGTTACCGATAATGTTGCTGATTCTTTTTGTACTGGGCCCGCGATGGTCCAGGTTAGAATGAACCTTCAGTAACCCAGGCTTGTCGTAAGAGGCGACTAACGGGATCGGATGGTCAGGCTCGCTCGCTTGGTTGACACATGTCATCGGTTCTCAATTGCCTAGATCGATGCTCATGCTGTTAATCAATGGATTGAAATATTTCAAAAGCAAAGCGCCTTTGAGCAGCTTAGCTGGATATTGTCGCTATACACATATTAGAATGATGATGATGATGATGAGAATGCTGATCACAATATACATTACCAGACTTCCCAGTCCAGACTGCAAAAAAGCCGGGATAATAAAGTGATGATTTATGAATTCATTTGTAATTCCCGGCTAGAGAGCAGCGTCAATCAATAAACGTTTCAACCAGCAGTTTCCACACAATGGAAACTGTTACACCCGTGAAGATCCGGATTAGAATTGGTCTTCAGACACGCATGCTTGCCGTAATTGTCGTAACCGGGTGTCTGGCTCGCTGACTTGGTTGACACATGCCATCTTATTCTAATTGCGTAGATCACCTCATGATTTCGATCACTGGACTGTCTGGCCCAGACACGATTATTTTCATACCGAGGCAACATAGCTGCATATTGCTGAGTGCGGCGTTAAAGAACATATATTCACCCTCCTCGTACCTGGCTTCCCCCCTGCTGCAGACAGAATAGTCGGAACGTAGTCAACCGCGTGGAACATCCTGGAACAAAGGTCCTACACACAACTAGGAATACAAACACACCATCCTGGAACAAAGGTCATACACAACTAGGAATACAAACACACCACCCTGGGACAAAAGACATCATCACACACAACTAGGAATACAAACACACCATCCTGGAACAAAGGTCATACACAACTAGGAATACAAACACACCACCCTGGGACAAGATCACACACAACTAGAAATACAAACACATCATCCTGGAACAAAGGTCATACACAACTAGGAATACAAACACACAACACTGGAACAACGGTCATACACAACTAGGAATACAAACACATCATCCTGGAACAACGGTCATACACAACTAGGAATACAAACACATCATCCTGGAACAAAGGTCATACACAACTAGGAATACAAACACATCATCCTGGAACAACGGTCATACACAACTAGGAATACAAACACATCATCCTGGAACAACAGTCATACACAACTAGGAATACAAACACACAATCCTGGAACAACGGTCATACACAACTAGGAATACAAACACATCATCCTGGAACAACGGTCATACACAAACTAGGAATACAAACACACCACTCTGGAACAAAGGTCATACACAACTAGGAATACAAACACATCATCCTGGAACAACAGTCATACACAACTAGGAATACAAACACATCATCCTGGAACAACGGTCATACACAACTAAGAATACAAACACACAATCCTGGAACAACGTTCATACGTAAAACTAGGAAATCAAGCACACCATCCTGGAACAACGGTCCTTGGAACTAGGAATACAAATACACAACCTTGGAAACTAGGTACTACACAACTTGAAATACAAATGCGCCGTACTGGAACACAGGTCACACGCATCTATAAATACAAATGCACAACTCTCGAACAAATGTCATACACAAGTGACGCTGTTTTAGTTGTTGTATACCAAATCAGTTTACATACAGATTACAAGAAATACTTTGTTTCATTTTTACACGTAACAATTGCAAACATACAACTTAAATGTCGTGTCTGAACAAGACAATCTGGTGATTGGCCTCATGAGTATGTTGACATGGCAAGTTAGTTAATTTGAACACCCAATTCCTTCCGTCGCCTTTTACGACATGCATCAGCCACTGAAGACTAGCTGTAACCAGACCTTCACAAGAGGCGTGGTTTGCTAAAAATCAATTCCAACTCGGATCTTCATAAAGGTTGTGGCATCAATAATATATACTTACCCATCATACGTGTAGCCGGTGCGTGTTATCCCCGCCCCATGGGCAAACGCCGCCGCCCTCGTGCCTCCCTCCCACAACGTCAGTTTACCGCCACGTAGAGGCCAGTTGTTGCCGTACTGAACCAGCTCGGCGCCATTCTTCACCAATCATAGTAAACAGTAGTTACAATACAATGTCAGCAGTAAAATGTATTCTTAATTTACGCTTTGATTTCTCTTTAACAGAAACGTCGACTTAGTGTTTGGGGAAAATTGAAACCGATGTGGAACCGTATGGCATCATTATCGTTAATATTAATCTGAACGCAAATGTACTTACATCAGCAGTGAAAAATATCAGTGTGTTATCAAACACTCCCTGTTCCTGCAAAGCCCGTGTGATGTTACCGACTGCGTCGTCAAGGGCTGTCACCATTCCTGTGAACACGATATATATACAAATCGCTTTAAATAACGCAACACGGTTCTGAAGTGATTCGATTGTCGGTCACACATGAAAGTATTGACCAAATACAAATTAAATCTTCCTGGAATATGTATCTGTCCGAGGAACTGACAGCTCATTACACAAGATGTTAACAGATCGTACTCGTTGTTTCCCTGCCTGGTGTTCGGCATTCAGCACAACCACTACGAAACCAGGCCATAAAAGACAAGTACAAACACGCATGCATGCACGCACACACACACGCACACACACGCACACAATCACAAGCACACATGCATCCACGCACGCACGAAAGCACACACAATTGCAAATTTAACCCCTAACGCCATACTTTCCCAACGTCCCTAAGGATTGCTTTCAATTGAACGTGAACGCATATATTGTATTTCCTGAACGGAATGTTGGGAATTTGACACCGCATTGAACAGCATTCCAACTACGTCAGCCAATGAGCTTGATGTGGGAGGAGAAGATCGTGCTTGTTTCTCGCTGCCAAGAGAAGATGTTACTTCGTCAAGTCACCCAGTCAGTTGTTGGCGATCTATAGCCCATTTTTATATTGTGTTGCCCCCTATAGTTAAAATGTTTTAGATTCAATTACTAGTTTTACGTATATATCTGTGATACTCTAGTTGCTTTACTGTCCTTTGTCGGCAGGTTTTATAATCTCTATATATATTCTATTTCAATGTCAAGTGTTCTCGTCACGATATGGCTGAAATATTGCCGATGTGACGTTAAATAATAACTCACTCACTCACTCAAGTCACCCAGCCGACACACAAAATCTAACGGGAACACCCTCCAGGAAACGGATGAGTGAGTGAGTTAAGTTTTGGGCCGCTTTTAGCAGTGTTCCAGCTATATCCCGGCGGGGGACACCACAAATGGGTTTCACACACAGTACCCATGTGGGCAATCGAACCCGGATTATCAGCGCGATGAGCGGACCCCACCACACCGAGGCATGGGTGAACAGGGATGAATGGGGTCATGCTTACCACAAAACTTCCGACGACCGATGTTTACAACATTTGGATACATATCTTCATATTGCTGTGGCACCTGAAGAAAAAAAAAGAACAAAATAAACCAAACATCCTATGAACCACCTGTAGATGTGCATGTGTTGGCAGAACGTATGTCTGGGAATGTACTACGCCGCTGTCTGTAGGATCATAACTATTACTAAGACCTGTAAACAACAGAGCCCTGGCCAGACACCCCAGCGTTTGATATTGTGGCGTCATGCAACCCATATCACGCAGTCTGACCACACTATCCCCTCTTGTGTAGGGATACAAATGTCATCAAAAATCTGTTCCGATGTTCCTGGCACAATCAAACTCCTTCGGCTCATCATCAGTGCTATTTTGGACTCTCCTATGATGCGCCGCCCAGTTGAACCCACCAAGATGTTTCCGGAAAATAAGGAAAAGAAAACAGCCTTCTGCATTACCCAGAGTGTCAGAACGGCTATGCTCCCAGTGGGGAACCCGGGCTCTCTCCTGATTTGCGCCAAGAGATCAGGAGGTACCAAACAAAGGGCACCGAGAACAATGGGGAGCCTGACGACGGAGTACGTGGGATGCAAACGAGATATTTCAAAGGTCCACGCCAAGAGAAAGCGAAGACCCATCCAAGCATTGCGAGAAAGATGGGCTGTCAGTCAACAAAATGGGAGGTACCAGACTTTATGTTTCTGGAAGGGTTGTCAGTCAACAAACTGGGAGGTCATACTTGCTTGACAACGATACAAGAATCTGCATCGAAACGTCGCATCATACGAATAAAGAAGTTGTTCATTCATAAAGTTTGTCCTTCTAAACATGTCACTCAAAGAAGTTAAACTGGGAGGTGTCAGTGTTACACGTACCTCTATCGGAGCGTGGACGGACTGGAAGGGCAGGTACAAGAAGAATGGCTTGGACTTGTCATGGTTGTTGATGATATCTACAGCCTCCCTGGCAAACCGGAACTGGAAATATATGCACACTGATTAATACTGTATCATACTAAATCATTACATTATAACATCAGTGTGTAACCATTAGAGTACATGCAAGCCTACAAGTGTTTACATGATGCTATATTACGTCCACAAGTCTCTCTGATATCTACATGTCCAGACAATGAGGTAGATGAAAGTCCTACTTTCAGTGGACATATTCTCAGTAACCTGGAGCCTTTCACAGATAAGGAGGTCAAATCACTGGTAATTGGAACTAAGTCTACAACATGTGAATCTGATCCAATGCCGACCAAACTTGTTGTGAAACACCTGGACTTGCTCATTACTATAATCACTGAGATTGTGAACAAAAGCCTACAATTAGGTGTATTTCCAGAAGCTTTTAAGAATTCATTTGTTCTACCACAACTCAAAAAGCGCGACCTTGAGAAGTCTGAACTAAACAACTTCTGTCCAGTATCCAATTTCCTCTCCAAAATCGTGGAGAAGGCTGTCAGTGTGAGGTGAAGAACCATCTGACAAGGTGCGACCTAGTGGACAAGTACCAGTCTGCATACCGGGAACATCACAACACTGAGGCAGCTCTTATACATGTCAGTGATATCCTGAGACAAATTGTGGATAGAGGGGACGCAGGGGCCTTGATACTCATAGATCTATCATCGGCCTGTGACACTATAGATCACAGTGTCCTGCTAAAGGTCCTCCAAACAAGATATGGAATTGCGGGGACAGCCCTCCAGTGGATTCCTATCTCCATAACAGATGCCAATGTGTGACCATCAGGAACAAGACATCAGAGAGCGTTACCGTACCACACGGTGTGCCACAAGGCTCCGTATTGGGTCCACTGTTATTTGTTCTGTACACTGGTCCCGTTGCTGACATCATCTCAACTCACAATCTGCAGCACCATTCATATGCAGATGATAACCAACTCATCAAGGCAATTTCTTGCAAAAATCCCTCTGACGGTCTAGCTGGAATTTCTGACTGTACAATACACGTCAAACCTTGGATGACAAATCATATGTTGAAACTAAATGACACTAAGACCGAAGCTCTTCTGATTGGATCCAAACAACTGCTGTCGAAAATCCCTACCAGATCTGTGACAATAGCTGATGCTGTCGTCCCTGTCTGTTCCACTGCAAAAGATCTCGGTATTGTCCTCGACTCCTCACTTTCGATGGAAGCTCAAGTCTCTCAGATCTGCAAAACCTGCCACTTTCACCTTCGTTTCATCAGTAACATCCGTCCCTATCTCTGAGGGGTGCTACCCATGCCTTGGCCGGAGCCCTCATAACCTCAAGATTGGATTATTGCAACAGTGAATTTTTTGGCATTTCTCAGAAACTCTGTGACAGACTCAAGAAAATCCAAAACACGTCTGCCCGCATCATTTATCGTCTCCCTAAACGCTGCCATATCAAGCCAGTACTGAAGGAGCTTCACTGGTTGGCCATCAAAGCCAGGATCGAGCATAATATACCGTGTCTGACCTACAAAGCCAAGCATGGTCTTGCTCCCCAGTACTTGTCTAACATGTTGTCATCATACTTCAGTTCACGCAATCTTCGTTCCAACAGCCAGGATCTGCACACTGTGTCCAGCTTCAGTCTGACAACTTTCAGACAGTGTTCTTTCACCTATGCAGCCCCTACTCTCTGGAACTCTCTTCCTTATGACCTCAAAACTATTGACAATTTCTACTTGTTCAAGTCCAGACTTAAAACCTACTTCTTCCAGCAGTATCTCCCTTAATGTGCTATAGTATTACTTCTGTACATATGTACATACCTGACTCTGTAGCGTCTTGAGTATGTCTGTCGAGGTGGATTGGGCGCACATATAAATATGCATTATTATTATACGTACGGTGGAGTGAGTGGAAGCTATATGTAAGGCGGAGTGAGTGGAAGCTATACGTACGGCGGAGTGAGTGGAAGCTGTATGAAAGGTGGAGTGAGTGGAAGGTAAATGTAAGATGGAGTGAGTGGAAGCTATACGTACGGCGGAGTAAGTGGAAGTTATATGTAAGGCGGAGTGAGTGGAAGCTATACATACGGCGGAGTGAGTTGAAGCTATACGTACAGCGGAGTGAGTGTAAAATATATGTAAGGCGGAGTGAGTGGAAGCTATACATAAGGTTGAGTAAGTTGAAGCTATATGTAAGGCGGAGTGAGTCGAAGCTATATGTAAGGCTGAGTGAGTTGAAGCTATACATACGGCGGAGTGAGTTGAAGCTATACGTACGGCGGAGTAAGCGGAAGGTATATGTAAGGCGGAGTGAGTGGAAGCTATACATACAGCGGAGTAAGTTGAAGCTATATGTAAGGCGGAGTAAGTGGAAGCTATATGTAAGGAGGAGAGGGTGGAAGCTATACATACGGCGGAGTGAGTTGAAGCTATACGTACGGCGGAGTAAGCGGAAGGTATATGTAAGGCGGAGTCAGTGGAAGCTATACATACAGTGGAGTAAGTGGAAGCTATACGTACAGGGGAGTAAGTGTAGGCTATACGTACGGCTGAGTGAGTGTAGGCTATACCTACGGCTGAGTGAGTGTAGGCTATACGTAAGGCTGAGTGAGTGGAAGCAATATGTAAGGCGAAGTGAGTGGAAGCTATACGTAAGGCTGGGTGAGTGGAAGCTATACGCACGGCAGAGTGAGTGGAAGCTATACATACGGCAGGCAGAGTGAAGCTGGAAGCTATGGAAGCACGGCAGAGTGAGTGGAAGCTAAATTTAAGGCGGAGTGAGTGGAAGGTACACGTAAGGCGGAGTAAGTGGAAGCTATACGTACGGCGGAGTAAGTGGAAGCTATACGTAAGGTGGAGTGAGTGGAAGCTATACGTAAGGCGGAGTGAGTGGAAGCTATATGTTAAGTACAGATGAAGTGGAAGCTATAAATGCAAAGGCGGAAGCTATAAGCTATATGTGCGTAAGGAGTGGAAGTATAGTGGAAGCAGTGGAAGCTATATGTAAGGCGGAGTAAGTGGAAGCTATACGTAAGGCGGAGTGAGTGGAAGCTATATGTATGTGGAGTGAGTGGAAGCTATACGTAAGGCGGAGTGAGTGGAAGCTATATGTAAGGCGGAGTGAGTGGAAGCTATATGTAAGGCGGAGTGAGTGGAAGCTATACGTAAGGCCGAGTAAGTGGAAGCTATATGTAAGGCGGAGTGAGTGGAAGCTATACGTAAGGTCGAGTAAGTGGAAGCTATATGTAAGGCAGAGTGAGTGGAAGCTATACATGAAGGCGGAGTAAGTGGAAGCTATATGTAAGGCGGAGTGAGTGGAAGCTATACGTAAGGCGGAGTAAGTGGAAGCTATATGTAAGGCAGAGTGAGTGGAAGCTATACATAAGGCGGAGTGAGTGGAAGCTATATGTAAGGCGGAGTGAGTGGAAGCTATACGTACGGCGGAGTGAGTGGAAGCTATATGTTAGGCGGAGTGAGTGGAAGCTATACGTAAGGCGGAGTAAGTGGAAGCTATATGTAAGGCGGAGTGAGTGGAAGCTATACATAAGGCGGAGTGAGTGGAAGCTATATGTAAGGCAGAGTGAGTGGAAGCTATACATAAGGCGGAGTGAGTGGAAGCTATATGTAAGGCGAGTGAGTGGAAGCTATATGTAAGGCGGAGTGAGTGGAAGCTATACGTAAGGTCCGAGTAAGTGGAAGCTATATGTAAGGCAGTATTGGAAGAGTGATATGGAAGCTATACAACAGGTAGTAAGGCGGAGTAAGTGGAAGCTATATGTAAGGCGGAATGAGTGGAAGCTATAAGGCGGAGTGAGTGGAAGCTATATGTAAGAGTGGAAGCTATATGTAAGGCAGAGTGAGTGGAAGCTATACATAAGGCGGAGTGAGTGGAAGCTATACATAAGGCGGAGTGAGTGGAAGCTATACATACGGCGGAGTAAGTGGAAGCTATATGTAAGGCAGAGTAAGTGGAAGCTATATGTAAGGCAGGTGAGTGGAAGCTATACGTGTAAGCGGAGTATTGGAAGCTATATATGTAAAGGAAGTAAGTGGAAGCTATACATAGTGAGTGGAAGCTATATATTACAGAGTGTAAGAGTAGGAAGCTATATGTAAGGCAAGAGTGAGTGGAAGCTATATGTAAGGCGGAGTAGTAAGTGGAAGCTATATGGAAGTGGAAGCTATATGTAAAGGAGGAGTGAGTGGAAGCTATACATGCAGGAATGAGTAAGTGGAAGCTATATGTAAGGGTGATTGGAGTGAGTGTGAAGCTATACGTAAGGCAGAATCGAGTGGAAGCTATACATGGGCTGGCCGGAGCTGAGTGGAAGCTATATGCAAGGCAGGAGTGAGTGGAAGCTATACGTGTGGAGGCAGGAGTAAAGTGGAAGCTATATGTAAAAGGCGGAGTGAGTGGAAGCTATACGTAAAGGCGGAGTGAGTGGAAGCTATATGTAAGGCAGAGTGAGTGGAAGCTATACATGAAGGCGGATGAGTGAGTGGAAGCTATATGTAAGGCAGGTGAGTGGAAGCTATATGTAAGGCAGGAGTGAGTGGAAGCTATACATAAAGGCAGAGTGAAGTGGAAGCTATATGTAAGGCGGGTGAGTGGAAGCTATATGTAAGTGCAGAGTAAGTGGAAGCTATATGTAAGGCAGAGTGAGTGGAAGCTATACATAAGGCAGATAAGTGGAGTGGAAGCTATATGAGATGAGTGGAAGCCAGATCACAGGCAAAGCTATACGTAGGCAGAGTGAGTGGAGTGCTATACATAAAGGCAGAGTAAGTGGAAGCTATACGTAAGGGCAGAGTGAGTGGAAGCTATATATAAGGCGGAGTGAGTGGAAGCTATACATAAAGCGGAGGTGAGTGGAAGCTATATGTAAAGCGGAGGAGTGGAAGTGGAAGCTATATGTAAAGAGTGGAGTAAGTGGAAGCTATACGTAAGGCAGAGTGAGTGGAAGCTATATGTGGCCCGGAGTGGAGTGGAAGCTATATGTAAAAGGCAGTGAGAAATGAGTGGAAGCTATACAAAAGGCAGTGAGTGGAAGCTATATGTAAGGCAGAGTGAGTGGAAGCTATACATGAGAGCGGAGTAAGTGGAAGCTATACGTAAGGCGGAGTGAGTGGAAGCTATATGTAAGGCGGAGTGAGTGGAAGCTATATGTAAGGCGGAGTGAGTGGAAGCTATACGTAAGGCAGAACTAAGTGGAGAGTGGAAGGAGTGAGTGGAAAGGGTGAGTGAGTGGAAGCTATACATACAGGCAGAGTGAGTGGAAGCTATACGTAAAGGCAGAGTGAGTGGAAGCTATACGTAACGGCAGGTGAGTGGAGCTATCGTACGTACGGTGATGAGGCGGAATAAAGTATGGTATGTAGCGTGAGTAAGCAGAAGCTATACGTAAAAGGTGGAGTTGAGTGGAAGCTATACGTAAAGGCGGGTGAGTGGAAGCTATATGTAAGGCGAAGTGAGAGTGGAAGCTATACGTAAAGGCTGGAGTGAGTGGAAGCTATATGTAAGGCAGGAGTGAGTGGAAGCTATACATGTAAGGCGAGGAGTGGTGGATCAGTGGAAAGCTAGGTGGAGTGGAAGCTATACTGTAAAGGCAGAGTGAGTGGAAGCTATATGTACGTCGGAATGAGTGGAAGCTATACGTAAGACAGCGGAGTAAGTGAGCTGGAAAGCTATAAGTGGGAAATATTAGAGGAAGGAGTGGAGTGGAAGCTATATGTAAGGCAGAGTGAGTGGAAGCTATATGTACAGGCGGAGTAAGAGTGGAAGCTATACGTGGGTGGAGAATGAGGTGGAAGCTATGGCTAAGGTGAGTGGAAGCCATCAGAGAAGTGGAAGCTATATGTAAGGCAGAGTGAGTGGAAGCTATACATGTACAGCCCAGGTAGATGAGTGGAAGCTATATGTAAGGCGGAGTGAGTGGAAGCTATATGTTATAAGGCAGTGAGTGGAAGCTATATATGTAAGGGCAGGTGAAGTGGAAGCTATACGTAAAGGCAGGTGAGTGGAAGCTATACAAAAGGCAGAGTGAGTGGAAGCTATACATAAAGGCAGGTGGGTGGAAGCTATATGTAAAGGCGGAGTGGAGTGGAAGCTATATGCATGGCAGGAGTGAGTGGAAGCTATCACATTAAGGCCAGGATATGAGTGGAAGCTATACGTAAGGCGGAGTGAGTGGAAGCTATATGTAAGGCGGAGTGAGTGGAAGTGGAAGCTAGTAAGTGGAAGCTATATCGCACGGTAGAGTGCCAGTGAAGTGGCAAGAGTATATGCTATATGTAAGGCGAGTAAGTGGAAGCTATACGTAAAGGCAGAAGCTATATGAGTGGAAGCTATATGTAAGGCGGGTGGTAGAGGTGGAAGCTATATGTAAGGCGGAGTGAGTGGAAGCTATATGTAAGGCGAGTGAGTGGAAGCTATATGTAAGGCAGAGTGAGTGGAAGCTATATGTAGTAAGTGGAAGCTATATGGTGTGAGTGGAAGCTATATGTATGAGGCGAGATGAAGTGGAAGCTATATGTAAGGCAGAGTGAGTGGAAGCTATGGTAGGCTGAGTAAGTTAAGGAAAGCTATATGTAAAGGCAGAGTGAGTGGAAGCTATACATGGGCCCGAGTGAGTGGAAGCTATATGTAAGGCGGAATGAGTGGAAGCTATACGTCTGTGTGAGGAGTAAGTGGAAGCTATATGTAAAGGCAGAGTGAGTGGAAGCTATATGTAAGGCAGAGTGAGTGGAAGCTATACAATAAAGGCGGGTTGAGTGGAAGCTATATGCTAAGGCAGGTGAGTGGAAGCTATACGTAAGGCAGGTAGTAAGGAAGTGTAAGCTATACGTAGGCAGAAGTGGAAGCTATATGTAAAGGCGGAGTAAGTGGAAGCTATATGTAAAGGCAGGAGTGAGTGGAAGCTATACGTAAGGCGGAGTAAGTGGAAGCTATGTCTGATTAAAGGTGGAAGGCAGGTGGAGTGGAGCTATATGTAAGGTGAGTAAGTGGAAGCTATATGTAAGGCAGAGTGAGTGGAAGCTATACGTGGGAGGCAGAGTAAGTGGAAGCTATATGTAAAGGCAGGTGAGTGGAAGCTATATGTAAGGCAGAGTGAGTGGAAGCTATATGTAAGGCAGAGTGAGTGGAAGCTATATGTAAGGCAGAGTGAGTGGAAGCTATATGTACGTGGAAGCTATATGAAAGTGAGTGGAAAGCTATATGTAAAGTGGGAAAGCTATCTCGAGTAAGTGGAAGCTATATGTAAAGAGGGAGTGAGTGGGTGGAAGCTATATGTAAGGCAGGTGAGTGGAAGCTATACATAAGGCGGAGTAAGTGGAAGCTATATGTAAAGCAGGTGAGTGGAAGCTATATGTAAGGTAAGTGGAAGTATATGTGGAAGCTATACTGTACGGCGGCAGAGTGAGTGGAAGCTATATATAAAGGCAGATGGAGTGGAAGCTAAACGTAAGGTGGAGTAAATGGAAGCTATATGTACGGCGGAGTGAGTGGAAGCTATATGTAAGGCAGAGTAAGTGGAAGCTATATGTAAAGGCGGAGTGAGTGGAAGCTATATGTAAGGTGGAAGCTATAAGCAGGGCGGTAGTGGAAGCTATATGTAAGGTGGAGTGAAAGTGGAAGCTATACGTAAGGCAGAGTGAGTGGAAGCTATATGTACGTCAGAGTGAGAGTGGAAGCTATACGTAAGGCAGCAGTGAGTGGAAGCTATATGTAAAGGTGGGAGTGAGTGGAAGCTATACGTAAGGCGGAGTAAGTGGAAGCTATATGTAAGGCAGAGTGAGTGGAAGCTATACATAAGGCGGATCGAGTGGAAGCTATACATACGGCGGATTGAGTGGAAGCTATACATACGGCGGAGTGAGTGGAAGCTATATGTAAGGCGGAGTAAGTGGAAGCTATACGTAAGGCGGAGTGAGTGGAAGCTATATGTAAAGGCGGAGTAAGTGGAAGCTATATGTAAGGCGGAGTGAGTGGAAGCTATACGTAAGGCCCTGAGAGTGGAAGTTGGAAGTTATATGTAAGGCGGAGTGAGTGGAAGCTATATGTAAGGCAGAGTGAGTGGAAGCTATACGTGAGACTGCAGAGAAGGTGGAAGCTATATGTAAGGCGGAGTGAGTGGAAGCTATATGTAAGGCAGAGTGAGTGGAAGCTATACATAAGGCGGAGTGAGTGGAAGCTATACGTAAGGCGGAGTAAGTGGAAGCTATATGTAAGGCAGAGTGAGTGGAAGCTATACATATGGCAGAGAAGGTGTGAAAGCTATATATAAAGGCAGAGTGAGTGGAAGCTATATGTAAAGGCAGGTGAGTGAGTGGAAGCTATACGTAAGGCGAAGGTAAGTGGAAGCTATATGTGTAAGACAAGAGTGAGTGGAAGCTATACGTACGGCAGAGAAGGTGGAAGCTGTATGTAAGGCAGGAGTAAGTGGATAGCTGTATGTAAGGTGGAATGAGTGGAAGCTATACATACGGCAGAGAGTAGGTGGAAGTTATATGTACGTTGGAGTGAGTGGAAGCTATTCGTAAAGGCGGTAAGTGGAAGCTATATGTAAAGGCAGAGTGAGTGGAAGCTATACGTACGGCAGAGAAGGTGGAAGCTATATGTAAGGCAGAGTGAGTGGAAGCTTTATATAAAGGCGCAGTGAGTGGAAGCTATACATACGGCCGGAGGTGAGTGGAAGCTATACGTACGGCAGAGTGAGTGGAAGCTGTATGTAAGGCGGGTGAGTGGAAGCTATATGTAAGGCAGAGTAAGTGGAAGCTATACGTAAGGTGGAGTAAGTGGAAGCTATATGTAAGGCGGAGTGAGTGGAAGCTATACGTAAGGCGGGTGAGTGGAAGCTGTATGTGTAAGGCGAGTGAGTGGAAGCTATATGTAAGGCAGTGGAGTAAGTGGAAGCTATATGTAAGGCCTAGGTGAGTGGAAGCTATACGTGCGGCAGCGTAAGTGGAAGCTATATGTAAGGCGGAGTGAGTGGAAGCTATACATAAGGCGGAGTAAGTGGAAGCTATATGTAAGGCGGAGTGAGTGGAAGCTATACGTACGGCGGAGTAAGTGGAAGCTATATGTAAGGCGGAGTGAGTGGAAGCTATACATAAGGCGGATGAGTGGAAGCTATATATAAGGCGGAGTGAGTGGAAGCTATATGTACGGCGGAGTGAGTGGAAGCTATATGTAAGGCGGAGTAAGTGGAAGCTATATGTAAGGCAGAGTGAGTGGAAGCTATATGTAAAGCGGAGTGAGTGGAAGCTATACGTAAGGCGGAGTGAGTGGAAGCTATATGTAAGGCGGAGTGAGTGGAAGCTATATATAAGGCGGAGTAAGTGGAAGCTATACGTAAGGCGGAGTGAGTGGAAGCTATATGTAAGGCGGAGTGAGTGGAAGCTATATGTAAGGCAGAGTGAGTGGAAGCTATACATAAGGCGGAGTAAGTGGAAGCTATATGTAAGGCGGAGTGAGTGGAAGCTATACGTAAGGCGGAGTGAGTGGAAGCTATACGTAAGGCGGAGTGATTGGAAGCTAAACGTACGGCGGAATACTCCCCTGTTGCGTTCCGCACCACATCAGTATTATCTCGGTAGTCCAAATATCCATCTGTTGTGGTCAAGTGAAAGAAATGGACAGTGGAACATTTGATGCAACTAATATTATATTGTATATTAAAGCTCTTAAGGTGTGCGTTCCAGCATGCGAGCGTACATCCGTCTTTGGGCATCCAGGGATATCTATACAACCACCATCACTCCCCTGTGTATACTGCTTGTAGCACAGTAGAGTTACTCAATTGTGATCTCTACCTATATGTGTTGATCTGAGCTGAGGTGATAACGGTTTGACATTGCGTTCAAAACTGTGTCAGCTGCAGCCATGAGACTTGTGCACAGATCCATCTTCACCTTTGCTATTTTTTCCAGAACTTTTAGCCTGAAGTATTCTTACACACTTGCCTGATCAGATTATCCAAACAATCTGACGGACATAAGCTTGATTCAGAAATACGCAGTTGAGATAAGTCAACATCAACAATGTCGACGATCGTAAACATCCGGTCCCGTTGGTCGCCTATTACATGCATGTTTTTATGAAGTCTAAATCTCGCGGGATCTTCCCTACATCAGCCCATTTCTACTATATTCGGCACTAGGATATCAATCTGGACAATTTTCGAACTGCATGGGCAGTCTGCGACCTACCTACCCATTTCGTGTGTGTAGTAGTCCTCAAACGCCTGGTAGTAGCCGAAGTAGGTGTCGAACCCCCGGAACGTCGGCGTGCAGTTCCAGTTGCAGAATCCGAGATGCCACCTGGATGTACACGAACAGGACATTACTGTCCCATATGCAGTGAGTGAGTGAGTAAGTTAAAATGTATCGTCACATCAGCAATATTTCAGCAATGTCGTGACGAGAACAATTAATTGTTATACATAGTAATTAATGGTAAATTATAAAAACCTGTCAACGAAGGATAATACAATAACTAGACTATCACAGATATGAATTTCAAATAAGTAATTAAATCTAAAACAGTTGAACTATAGATGGCAATACAATATAAAAACAGGCTGTAGACTGCCAAAAATTGAAAGTAGAAACCGTACTAAGGGAAATAATTTTACAATACTTCAACCCTCTTTGAGGGTACAACCACTAACAATCTCAGTTACTACTCTAAACTACCAAGAATAGAATATTTATGTATTTACAAACCGTTTATCAATAATTATCTAGTAATGATATTTCTTTTAAAGATTAAATAATTAAATGATAAGTAATCCTTAAAAGTAATCCTAAAAGATCCTTAACTGTTTTGACATTGAAATATTTATCCCTTGTGATGGAAAAGTTCCCTATGCAGAGTCATACAAAACGTGTCATTTCCAGTTAATATATGCTCACTAACACAGTTTAATTTCTCAGCTGATTATATTTAACTGCAATTCATTTACTGAATATCATCCGGCCACGTAAAACTTTCGAAGTTGTTTGACACTTCTATAGCGATTAGTTTCTTGGAGGAAAGAGTGAAGAAGGTGCTAGTATTTTGTCTGTCGTCTGTTTCTTGAAGGAAAGAGTGAGGATGGTTCAAGGGTTTGGTCAGTCGTTTGTTTCTTGAAGGAAGGAGTGCAGCTGGTTCAAGGGTTTCGTCAGTCGTTGGTTTCTTGAAGGCTGGTTGGCTGGTTGGTTGTTTCACGACGCACTCAGCAATATTACAGCTAAATGACGGCGGTCTGTCAATAATCAAGTCTGTACCAGACAATCCTGTGATCAACAGCATGGTTATCAATCTACGCAATTGGGATACTATTACATGCCGGCAAGTCTGACCACCCTATCCCGTTAGTTGCGTCTTGCAACAAGCATGGGTTACTGAAAACCAGTTGTATCCCAGATCTTCGTGGCTTTCCTATAGGAAAGAGTGAAGAAGGTTCTAGGTTTAGGTAAGTCGTTGGTTTCTTTGAGGAAAGAGTAAAGATGATTCTAGGCTGATTGTGTCCTTAGTTCCCCGACCTCCTTTTGTCTGTTAAAGTATTGAATAACAATTGTTATTGAGTACACAGTATTAATATTGGGTGATATTCAACATTTGTATGACTGCCAAAATATTGAGCAACGCAGCCACGAACGTTTCGGAAATGCCGATGCAGCAGTATTAAGTCACTCCAGTGTAGAGAGGTTTGAGTCTATGATCAAATATCCAAGAGTGAGTTGACCCTTGAGAGTGACCTGCTCCACCTGCACTAGACATTGTGAAATGGATCCATGGTTACGTACTTCCCTATAGCGTGAGTGGAATAGCCCAGCGCCTTCAGATACTGAGGCAGGAAGGTGAAGTTGAGGGGACACACACTGGCTGAGCTTTCCAAATCACAAAATGCTGAAATAAGTATAGTCACATTTTTGGTGTTTTTAAATAAAATATACATTTGACAATAACACTCCATAAACATTACAAAAAACGACATTATACTTAATTATGAATACTTCTTACGAGTAAGCAGGTGCCGTTTACTTGTATTCAGGAGTTCATATAATTTGTAATCGTTTGAAACCCATCAGTGAGTGAGTTAGGATTTAAAGTCACATCACATATTTCAGCCATATCGTGACTAAAGAAGTTTTGAATTCACCATAAATACATGTAAATTATAAAGACCTGTCGACGAAAGACAGTAAAATCAACTAGAATATCACAGTATCAAGAAATAAAACTAGCATCTCTCCCTAAAATTGGATTTCAAATTAAGACAATACAGTACAACATGGGCTATAGTGAGTGAGTGAGTTCTTATTTAACGTCACATCGGCAATATTTCAGCCATATCGTGACGAGAACACTTGACATTGAAATAGAATATATATAGAGATTATAAAACCTGCCGACAAAGGACAGTAAAGCAACTAGAGTATCACAGATATATATGTAAAACTAGTAATTGAATCAGGGGCGGTGGGGGTAGCCTAATGGTTAAAGCGTTGGCTCGTCACGCCGAAGACCCAGGTTCGAATCCCCACATGGGCACAATGTATGAAGCCCATTCCTGGGTGTCCCCGCCGATGATGTTGCTGGAATATTGCTAAAAGCGGCGTAAAACCAAACTCAGTCAGTCAGTCAGTCTAGTAATTGAAGCTAAAACATTTTAACTATAGGGGACAACACAATATAAAAATGGGCTATAGATCGCCAACAACTGAAGGTAGATCACCATACTAGGACACCACGGGGACTTACAGTGCCTTTGCTACCTGCATGGACCCAAGCTGGATTTTACACTTAAACCAAATAGTACCGACCTGTCACCAGATTAAACCTATGAACCCAACAAAATACTAAATTATGAATTTTACTATTTTTTTTTAATCAGCTGTCACTGATCTGTAATCATAGTAGTAGATATAGTATGTGATCGTTTGAAAGCTACCAGCACCTACCTCTCACAGCATTCGCTCAGCAGTCTGTTTAGTAGTACGTGTCCACAGTAATCCTTACCTGTAATTAGTCATTCTTACCTGTGTTCCGGCCTTAAATGGGTAAATTCCTGTCATGAAAGCGGTTCTTGAGCTGCATGAAAATGAAGATACTTAAACGAAGAAAACAAACTGTACATAACTTACCATCGTAATATTGTGTTTATACTAAGTTCCCCAATCCCATGGTGAGTGAGTGAGTGAGTTAAAATGTAACGTCACCCCGGCAATATTCCAGCCATGTAGTGACTAGAAATGTTGTACATACACAATCAATACATGTAAATTAAATACCCAGTCATCGACGGACTGTAAAATAACTAGAGTATCACACAAAAGAGTAAAAAACCAGAGTATTATTTTTAAAGTAGGAAACTATTTGAGACAATACAATGTAAAAATGGGCTGAGTGATCGCCAACAACTGAAGGGTGGAGATCACCACACTAGGGACTATGGGGACTCACAGTGTTTTGCTACCTGCATGGACCCAAGATGGATTTTCACCATCCCTTCAGCAGCTGGCGATATGTAGGAACATTTAGCCGACAGTTAAAATAACAAATATACTCCGTTTAAAAATTGGGTAAGCAAAATTTTTAACTTTGAAAGTTTGGGGACTTACGTACCCTCTCAGGACCCAATCCCATGAATACACACGGTAGCAATGCATTGTAATAGTGATGTGTGTCTATTTCTAATAACATAATGAAGTGAGTATATGTACAACGTCTTGACATCAAACAGTCCCGAATGCGTGCCAGTACTCAGTGTGCCAGAGGTTGATGTGCCAGAACGCGGTGTGTCAAAGCTCAGGTGTCAGAACTTTGTGCGTCGGAACTCGCACATGACAAGGTGTGTTAGGCCTCGGTGTATCAGAACTCAGTGTGCATTATGTCAGTGTGTCAGAAGTCGGTTTGCGAGAACTAGAAGTGTCAGATATCAGTGTCAAAAGTCGGTGTGTCAGAAATCGGAATGTCAGTTAGTTGTGTGCAACATTTCAATGTGTCAGAACTCGGTGTACGAAAACTAGAAGTGTCAGAAGTCAGTGTCGAAAGCCGGTATGTCAGTAATCTTATTTAAGGGGCATTCAGAAGCTGCTATGATGAAGAGGATCACTTTTGTATGGATGGACATTAAAGAAGTTGTATATCCATAAATAAGTGAGTGAGTGAGTGAGTTAATATTTAATGTCACATCGGCAATATTTCAGCCATATAGTGACGAGAAATCTTTTATATCAACAATGAAATAAATGTTGCTAAATAAAAACCCTGTCATCGAAGGACAGTAAAACAACTAGAGTATCACAGATGGAGTCTAAAACTTGTAAAACTATTTTATTTACGAAACAGACAATACAATATAAAAACGGGCTATAAAACGCCAACAACGGAAGGTAGATCACCATACTAGGAACCATGGGGACTTACATTACCTTTGCTACCTGCATGGACCCTAGTTGGATTAACACCATCCCCCAGCTGCTGGCGATTGTAGGAAAATTTAGCCACAAATTAAAATGACAAGAATGCTACGTTTAAAAAATCACAGGACGTTTAAATGGACTTTGAACATTAAAGAACTTACTTATATCCATAAATAAGTGTTCCTCTTCATGTCAGTTTTATTCAGAAGTGGTCAGAACTAGAAGTGTCAGAAGTCAGTGTCGAGGTATGTTAGAAGTCGGTGTGCGAGAACAAGAATAGAATTGTCAGAAGTGTCAAAAGTCGGTGTGTCAGAAAACAGAATGTTCGTAGTCGGTGTGCAATATTTCGGTGTGTCACAACTCGGTGTGCGAGAGCTATAAGTGTCAGAAGCCATTGTCAAAAGTCGAAGGGTCGAAATCGGTATGTCAGAATGAGCGAGTGAGTTAAGATTTACAGTCACATCGGCAATATTTCAGCCATATCGTGACTAAAACAAGCTTTCAAATTCATCATAAATGTACATGTGAGTGAATGAGTGACTTAATATTTAGCGTCACATCGGCAGTATTTCAGCCATATCGTGACTAAAACAAGCTTTAAATTCATCATAAATACATGTGGGTGAGTGAGTGAATTAATATTTAGCGTCACATCGACAATATTTCAGCCATATCGTGACGAGGACAATTTCGTTTATATCAATATTCAAATGAAAAAATCTAGAACGTAGAAACCTGTCATGGAAGGACAGTAAATATATCATAAATACAGTTTTAAAACTAGCATCTTTCATTAAATTTGGATTTCAAATTAGGACAATACAGTACAAAATGGGCTATAGATCGCCAACAACAGAAGGTACATCACCATACTAGGGACCATGGAGACTTACAGTGCCTGTGCTATCTACATGGACCCTAGTTGGCGGTATGTCAGATGTCGGTGTGCAATATTTCAGTGTGCCAGAACTCGTCGTGTCAGAACACATTGTGCAGGCCCTACAGCTGCCTGACAGTGGTTTGGCATAGACGTGCGGTCATCTGGCTATACACAGTGATCCGTTTCCTTCTAAGATTGATCTGACAGAAATCATAGGGGTGTTAGTTCAATACTCACGGGCTACACACGGGCAGTACATAAGAGTGGTTGAAGATGACGCCACTGTCTGCCAAGGCGTCGATGTTGGGGGTGATCATGGTGGGATTGTGAAAGCCCACGTCGTTCCATCCTGCAGGGATATACCATCACATATGTTGAACACGTTGTACTGGTTGTTGTGTGACGAGTTGTACAGTTTTCCAAACCAATAATATAAATGGCATCACAGAATCCAGACAGTTTGGTCAGACAGCTAGACAGGAAAGCCTGTAATGATCGTCACATAATACAGACAGTTCGTTCAGACAGCTAGACAGGAATCCTTATAATGATCGTAACAGAATACAGACAGTTTGTCCACCCAGCTAGACAGGAAACCTTATAATGATCGTCACAGAATACAGACAGTCCGTTTAAACAGCTAGACAGGAAACTCAACAGTAATGACACAAGACACTTTGTTCAGACAGCTAGAGTGAGTGAGTGAGTGAGTTAAAATTTAACGTCATCTCGGCAATATTTCAGGTATATATAGTGACAAGACAGGTTGTGTATAAACATGAGTTGCTAAAGAACCAGTCATCGAGTGATTGAGGTATTATTTAACGTCACATCGGCAATATTTCAGCCATATCGTGACGAAAACTATTTATACAATAAAAAGTGAAATGAGAATATTTGACAATGAAATGGAATATAAGTACCTTATAAAAATCTGTCGACGAAGGACAGTAAAACAACTAGAATATCACAAGTACAACTAAAACTAGTATGGAGAGTTAAAACTGATAGCACTATTTGGACAATACAATATAAAAACAAGCTATAGATCGCCAACACCAGAAGGTAGATCACCAAACTAGGGACCATGGGGACTTACAGTACCTTGGCTACCTGCATGGACCCTAGTTGGATTATCCTTCAGCTGCTGGCGATTGTAAGAAATGTTAACAATTAAACTCAAGAATGCTACGTTTAAAACAGGCAAGTTTAAATTGACTAACCATCATCGAAGGACTGTAAAATAACAAAAGCATCACAGATGGTGTCAGACAGCTGGACAGGACTGACTGACTGAGCGTGGTTTTACGCCGCTTTTAGCAATATTCCAGCAACATCACGGCGGGGATCACCAGAAATGGGCTTCACACATTGTGCCCATGTGGGGATTCGAACCCGGGTCTCCGGCCTGACGAGCCAACGCTTTAACCATTAGGCTTCCCCACCGCCCCAGCTGGACAGGAAATCCTACAGTGATTAAGACGGAATACAGGCAGTTCGTTCAGACAGCGAGATCGTTACAGAAACAGACCTATTCAGAATGATCGTCACAGAATACAGACAGTTCATTCAGACAGCTAGACAGGAAAGGATATACTGATCGTCACAAAATACAGACAGTTCGTTCAGACAGCGAGACAGGAAACCCTAAAATGATCGTCACAAAATACAGACAGTCCGTTTAAACAGCTAGACAGGAAACCCGATATTAATGTCAGCTCGCCCGGCAGTCAATAGGAAAGGCATTATTTTAATTTTACAGTTTGTTTGTCTCTTAATTGTGATTTTTCTGAAAAACAAAGGATGAATATTGTGTTGTCATGGGTAGCAGTAACAGTAATAATAATTTGTGTTCTCCAGAGAATGGCGTTCACACGCGTGTGTGCGTCTTCGTAAATATATGCGTGCGTGGTGTGTGTGCGTGCGTACGGTTGTGTGTAAATGCTACATAACGTCAAAGTCAGCAATATTTGAGCTATGACGGCAGCCAGTAAATAGTCTTATCGAGATCTGTGATACACAAATAACATATCTGATTTGTTGACGTCAGATCACGAAACTGTGATCTAATCTGAATACGCCATTCAAATATAAACAGGATGGCACTCGATAACACTAAACTGTAAAACTTGACCTCATTTGATACTGCATAATCGATTTGATATCATCCTATCGTGGAAACCTTGTGTCCAGGGCCACGTTAATCAAAGCGATCGTAGGGCTACGACTGTCGTAAGTCTATGTTAAATTATAGGAGTTACGACCACCTTAGGGTTACGATTGCTTTGGGGAACGAGGTCCTGTTGTTCAACTTAGATAATACAGTTTCCTAAGCTGCAGATGAAACAAGCGACCATTGATAAATGTTTTGCCGAATGCTGTATCTGTGCCAAGGTCAGGGAACAACAGACATATAGTTACTGTATAGCAATCACTACCGATCACCACTGATATGATTAGAGTGAGTGAGTGAGTTAAGATTCAAAGTCACATCGGCAATATTTCAGCCATATCGTGACTAAAACTAGTTCTTAATTCATAATACATAGATATAATATATAAAACCCTGTCAACGAAGGACAGAAAAATTATCACAAAATGAGTTAAAACTAGCTAGTATGTATCTTTAAATGTAGAAAACTATTTTTGGACAATACAATGTAAAATGGGCTTTAGATCGCCAGCAACTGAAGGTAGATCGCCATACTAGGGACCATGGGGACTAACAGTGCCTTTGCTACCTACATGGACCCTAGCTGGAAATAGAGCATCCATTCAGCTGATATGGTTAGAAATAGATCTTATACACAACTGAAATAGCAGTGTTAAACGTATCTATATTCGACTCACATCGGACTAACTTTATTTTCCTGAGCTTCGGCTGTAAGTCTTATGAATGAGCTGTTTTCTCTGTTTTTCCAACATTTGACATTAATACACGTTATAAAGTTAATACCTAAATCCGTGGATTTACATAGTTGACAATTTCATTCGGTTACAGGTATTTTTCTACCTACTTGTGTCAGTCTGAATTTCAGGAATACATACAAAAAACATTTTCCGGCAGATTTAGAAAATTAATTATGAGATGTCAGTATCAGAGCAGTGTGTGACATATGCCGATTAAAGTGTAGAAGACAACAATCAGAATGGGCTTTCTTCAACATACACGAGTGAGTGAGTGATTTTTGTACTTTTAGGCCGCTTTTAGCAATATTCCAGCAATATCACGGCGGGGGACACCAGAAATGGGCTTCACACATTGTAGGGAATCGAACCCGGGTCTTCGGCGTGACGAGCGAACGCTTTAACCACTTCGCTACCACACCGACCCGTTTAAAATACACGATGAATAGATACAAATTCATGTTCAATTGAAAAACCCGTCATGTTGTTTTGATGTTTATGTGTATTTCAGGATGATAAATACCAGATTTCCGGGTAGTGATTTGAGCGTTTCAAACGATTATAGATAGATTACATATCCGTCGACATATATTTTACTTAATTTAGGCCTCAACGTGTCTTTCGTGTAGCCCAGAAGGAGAATACGTAATTATATTAAGGTAACTGGTCCGCCCCTCAGAGCCGTGAGGGATTTGTAGGCAGTGTACATCGTAACTTGATGTATTTATACCTAGAAGTTTGCTTACCCAAGTCGTCAGCAACAATGAAAATGATATTTGGCTGACTTGCGCTCGTACAGCCTCCCACAACCAGACAGAGCACGAGAGCAGACAGCGAGACTGTTGACTCCATCTTAGCTCGAGTCGTGTGTACTACTCGCTTATCAACCTGGCCTAGCTCAGTAAGGGCCGGGTGGCGTGTGATACTGGTCCTGAATGAATTACCTATCTGTTTAAAAGTCACGTTAGTAATACATACAAACATAAAGTTGGCGTTTGCATGGTACTACATTAGCGAACCACAAACAGTCTGTTGAAGTCCGTACAGTGTGCCCGACTCGAACATTTTGCTCTGCAGAGCTGGAACATTGATCACCAGGTAAACACAAACGAATATACAAAAAATCGTATATAAAATAATTCCAAAAGTTAATAATTTTTTTAAAATTTTGAATGACATTTATACGGTTGAAAATTTCATATCCAGAAGGAACAATAAATCTGATAAATTTGCAGACAAATGGTTTCCTTTATTCTCAATATTTAATTTCTGACGTAATCTTTAATCAAAGGGGAATACTTTTACTGGAGTATATTCTCTCTATGCTATCAGTTGACCTAACATTTTTGTTGAACCCAATGAACTTTGATCATGTATTTATGCATTTATTGCTTTACTTTATATGCTTGTACTCAATTATGGGAACAAATAAAAAGATTTAAAAAAATAAATAAAAAAAATATACTGACTGACTGACTGAGTTTGGTTTTACGCCGCTTTTAGCAATATTCAAGCAACATCACGGCGGGGGACACCAGAAATGGGCTTCACACATTGTGCCCATGCGGGGATTCGAACCCGGATCTTCAGCGTGACGAGCCAACGCTTTAACCATTAGGCCACCCCAAAAAAAATTTTTAAAAAAAATAAATAAATAAAAATATACAAAAAAGAAGGAAAAAGCAAGTGGGTCGCTGAATTGTTATTAGCCGGTACTGTGACGTCACGGAAGTCGGAGGGAGGAGCGAGGTGAATAGAAAGTCCGTTACATAATGGAGACGTTCCTGCATGTGTGTGTGTGTGCATGCGCCACGGTACAAGTGTGTGTGTGAGAGAGAGAAAGGGAGAGCGACAGAGAGACAGAGAGAGAGAGAGAGAGAGAGATAGTTTGTTTATGACGTCATCACACAAGTGTGTCACCAATCAATAAATAATAAAGTAAGTGAGTTATATCATGTAAGTTCTTTATTTAAGTCCAAAACGCCACTAACGGTGGTACATGAGCTACAATATAAAATCATAAAAACAAAAGTTACAAGATGGACAATGGCAAAAAGGTAAATGGTAATTACAATAACATAAAACACAACATTTTGTGAAACACATCATAATTATATATATTTATACATATAGCGAGAGAGAGAGAGAGAGAAAGAGAGAGATATAGAGAGTAGATAGAGAGAGAGAGATAGAGAGAGAGAGATAGAGAGAAAGAGAGAGATAGAGAGAGAGAGAGAGAGATAGATAGAGAGAGAGAGAGAGAGAGAGATAGAGAGAGAAAATGAGAGAGAGAGAGAGAGAGAGAGAGAGAGAGAGAGGGTATACAGTATACAATATATAGTGTACAGTATACATACAATCATCATAAATTATCATGCAAGCAAATGCGGATCAGGCGTTTTTGAAAATATTATAAATGTTCAATAAATAATTCATTCATATTCCTAGTAGATATAAGTTTTTGAAAGTTGCCGCAATTGGGCCCTATTGCCAATATGAATAATATATTTAGGGTAAATGTCCCTTTTGCAGTACCCAGACGCCTGTTTTCCTTACAGCTTTAACTTTGTGTTGTACATATAATGTAAATCCATCAATTTGTAAATCAACTAAACTGTCAGTTTTTCCTCTTGAAGATATATTACATCATTTTCAATAATAAGATCTAAAAATTCTTGATATTTCAAGTACTTTCTTGAGCCACACATATTCAAGTTAATAAACTTCAGCATGCAACCTTGACCATCAACATCACCACCACCATCATCATCATCATCATCATTAGCAATATATACATCATTGTCAACATTAGGATCAATATATACTCTAACATGCTTAGCTTTGTTACAAACATGATCAGCTTCACAATTAGAATCTGGTACTGGGTGAACACATGCATGAACATGTGCATTAGCACCAGCAGCAATATCAACAGCATTAACATTTTTGTCATCAATAGCATTTTCACAGTTTGGAAAATCTGGAGTTTTTATGTTAACATTATCATGAGTCACAAAAGTCCCTTTACTAAAATTTAATATACACTTTGATATTTGGAACATCGATCAATGCTATTGTTAATGACAGTTTTGCTGTGTGCTATAGTTGATACTGAGGGAATAGAAACAGTATGGGTGTCATTGGGATCACTGTTCTCATTGACCTTGCCCATTTAAGATATTGAGATTACTAAATGAGTGTCTGTCAGATACCATTTATCTTACAACGAGTTGTTTCAAGACGTATCTAGTGAGCGAAAACAGTAATCTGTTTCTTACATGACATGAAATTGCACCATTTTATTGTCGAATAGATTCAAATTTCATATTTTCTCATCGTAGTTGCGCAATAATACACAATACAACACATATACAACATGTTCATATATGTAGGTGATATAACATAGCATTAAGCAAATTATGCTTATTCTAGTATAACTATCATAATAGAACATATATCACTCTATCAATTCTGAAATACATATCACATAATCCTGATTATGGCATACATAAACCAATAAATCTATGAAATGAACCTGCTTAAAAAATCTATATGCCTTACTCGCACAACATGTATTATGTGTTTAGGTGTATACTGGGTATATATATATATATATATATACAATATATGAATAGTGAGTGAGTGAGTTTACTTTTACTACTTTTACGCCACACTCAGCAATATTCCAGCTATACGGCGGCGGTCTGTAAATAATCGAGTCTGGACCAGACATATATACAATAAAAAGTAAAGAACATAATAATGATTTCATGTTGTATAAATACTACATGAACCATACATATAAAACATGGCCGACAACTATGGCAGCAGGCACAATACTCATGTGTCGTCTGACCTTATAAATATGACGGTACTATTAATACACTTATCATAATAACCGCACTGTCGTGAAATACCAATTTACATTAATATTAGTGAGTGAGTATGGTTTTACGCCGCTTTTAGCAATATTTTAGAAATATTCCAGCAATATCACGGCGGGGGACACCAGAATTGGGCTCACACATTGTGCCCATGTGGGGAATCGAACCCGGGTCTTCGGCGTGGCGAGCGAACGCTTTAACCACTAGCCTACCTCACCGCCCTACACTAATATTAAAACACATTCGTACCTCAACAATTCACAATAACCTAAGCAAGAATAATGTTTATAACACAACTATACATAAACACATATAAGGTACATCCTACATAATATGTGTCTACTGTAGTTAAACATATATTAGGTTTAGAGTTGAAGGAGAAGAACCCAGAAGTTGGGCTAAATGTCAAAAGTCTGCTAATTTAGTCTACCTCACACAGCTGCAGAAATAGTCACCCGATGACTATCTTGTGCCGCTGCATGAGGTAGACTAACTTATATTGTTTAAGAAAAAGATTGAACTGACCAATTAGAAAGTAAGGGATAGCTGGCCCTAGGAGAGAAGGACCCGAGAATACCCTGCACTCCCACAGTGAAACAATAAAGCTAGCCAGCCCAGGTCTAGCTTGTGGCAATCAAGCTGGATACAAATGCTGGATACAAATACCGTATACAATACAAAAGATACCACAACCAAACCAACAATACCTTCTTTCTCAAGAAATGGTGAAGCGACACTTCCAAACCATTTTAATAGTTTGGGAGGTTTACCACTTGACTAATGTCAACAGATTTTTTGCATGGAACCATCCTCAGTTACATTTAGTTTGGATAGTTTTTCAGTCTGTTATCAGCGTAGGCCTTCAAACAGTGGTATCAAAGGCTTCATGTCATCTGCTCTTATTTTCCAACATATCGGTTCAGGGGTAACCCTCTCATTCTGTGATCTCACACATTCCATGTTCGCCATGGGAAATAGGTTCCGCTGCAGCAGTAACATCGTAATAATTACTGATGTTGATGGCATTTCTTCTTCCCCGATTTAGCAGTTCTGAATGTCCTGTTCTGTGTGGTATGGAGTCCCCTGATGATTGAAATGGCCAGATTTCTCAACAATTGCAAACATGTGAAAGGATGGTGTAAATCCAGCAAGGGTCCAGGCAGGAAGCAATCTACTCTAAGCCACCTACTCTCAGCTGTTGGCAACATTGTATTGTTTTCATATTGTAATGTCTTCTATAGTTCAACTATTACAGATTTATATGCTAGTTATACACCTACATCTCTGATTTTCAAGTTGTTTTAGGGGCGGTGGGGAAGGCAAGTGGTTTAAGCGTTCGCTCGTCACGCCGAAAATCCGGGTTCGATTCATCACGTGGATACAATGTGTGAAGGCCTTTTCTGGTGTCTCTCGCCGTGATATTGCTGGAATACTGCCAAAAGTGGCGTAAAAGCATACTCACTCAAGTTGTTTTACTGTCCTCTCCTGACAGGCGTTTATAATTTTGTATAATGTATTATGAATCTATAACTTCTTTTGTCACGATAACTTCATGTCAATCTTATCTCACCCACTCACTCACTCTTGCCACATGAGTCATGTTCTTTCTTTTTCAAACATCGGTGTTGGTTCCTTCTTTACTTGGTTTGCGCAATGTATGTTGCTCAGGCCACACATTTAGGTGGTTGTAATTTGTAATCGGGAACCTTATAAAGTATAGTTTACAGAATTTGTTTAATATAAATTAATGACGTTTCTGTGCTTTTGCTTGTTTCATTATGTATGGATGGATTTTCTCGGGAAACGAGTAACAACATTGCTTTATATCTAAACGCAGATGCAAGTAAACAATCACATATACAAGAATAACTACCATTTCCTAACCACTCCCAGTCCCGTTTATCGCGTTAAGGTAGTGAATCAATTCCGTCTTGTTTCTTTTCTGTGCATACATCCGAGGTGTCCAGCCGTACTCATTTGTAGCCTCCAGACCCACACCACTTCCCTGAAGGATGTGCTTCACCATCTCCACATGGCCTCCTTTGCAGGCAAAGTGAAGCATGTTGTTTTCACGATCATCAACCAATGACATATTGCCTCCTTTTCTGACAATGAACTGCACCAGTTATATATTTCCTCTTTCAGCTCCCATCATCAATACTGTCTTTCCCGATATCTCTCTACTGTTAATGTCCACAATATTTTTAATATAATATGCTTCACCATCTCCACTTTCCCACAGTGCAAGGCGACATGAAGGATATTGCACTTTTGAACATCGACTAAATGCACATCAGCTCCTCTATTGGCAAGCATGTCAAACACACCTATATGTCCCTCACTTGCTGTATTCATCAATGGTGTTCTCTTGAAACTCCCTCTGCTGTTGATGTCAGTAATGTTCTGAGAGAGAATATACCCAACCAAGTCCACATGTCCACTTAGGCTGGCCAGATGTAGGATGTTGTCCCCAAATCTATCCACAAGTGAAGCGTTAGACCCCTCACTCACGAGGGAGCGGAACACGTCTACATTTCCACCGGTTGCTGCTGACATCAAAGGTGTCCGCCCGTATCTTTCTCTACCGTTGATGTCCACAATATTCTGTGAGAGGATGTGCGTCACCATGTCCAAATGCCCTCGAAGACTGGCAAGATGTAGAACGTTGTTCTTATATGTATCTACAAGTGAAGCTTTGCCTCCTTTACTTACAAGAAAGACAAACACGTCAGTGTGTCCCTCGGCAGCGGCCAACATCACTGGTGTCCTCCGGAATCTATCCCTGCTGTTGATGTCAGTGATATTCTGTGAGACGATGTACTTCACCATCGGAACGTGACCTCCAAGGCTTGTCAAATGAAGGATGTTGTTACGATCAGAATCAACAACCGACACGTTACCTCCTACACATGCACAGAAGTCAAGGACATCTGTATATCCTTCGCGGGCTGCAAACAACACAGGTATCATCCCGTGAACCCCTTTTGTGTCTCCTTGGTCTTGGGTCCAGGCCCATTGCAATCGTCCAAACTTACCCTTCTTGCAGGCTTGAAGAATCTTTTTCTTTTCCTTATCTCGACGTTGGTGGTCAGGTCTCGAATGATGGAACTTCTCATCTGTGAGTGAGTGAGTGAGTGAGTGAGTGAGTGAGTGATTATGGTGAAATGAGCCAAGCATTCAGTGAGTATCCTGAGTGAAGATGGGTAAGTTTAAATTTACTTTTAATGTTTAGGGTCTTAGTACCGCCAGTGAAGAGTGACTTGGAAACAGTGTGTTTGAGTGAGTTTTATGATTGGTCTTCGTATTAATTTTATTTATAAATCCAGTGTTAGATTTCGCACTTTCTATGTTCACGAGAGTGACTTGAAACAGCAATGAGTGAAGGCATTGCCCATGGAGTGAGTGAGGAGGAGGAGGAGTGAGTGGGTGAGTGAGTGAGTGAGTGAGTGAGTGAGTGAGTGAGTGAGTGAGTGAGTGAGTGAGTGAGTGAGTGAGTGAGTGAGTAGTGAGTGAGTGAGTGAGTGAGTGAGTGAGTGAGTGAGTGAGTGAGTGAGTGAGTGAGTGAGTGAGTGAGTGAGTTAATATTAATCGTCACATCGGCAATATTTCAGCCATATCGTGACGAGAACAGTTTATAATTATATTAAAGATCAATAAAGTTAGAAAATAAAAACCCGTTGACGACGAACAGTAAAACTACTAGTGTATAACGGTATCAAGGAATAAAACTAGCAACTCTCTCTAAAATTGGATGTCAAATTAGGACAACACAGTATAAAAAATGGGCTATAGATCGCCAACAACTAACGGTAGATCACCATACCAGGGACCATGGGGACTTACATTACTTTTGCTACCTGCATGGACCCTAGTTGGATTTACACCATCCCTTCAGCCGCTGGCGATGGTAGAAAGACTTAGCCAAAATTTTAAATAACAAAAATACTACGATTAAAAAGTATGGTTGACTACGATTTAAAACCTGGTAGACTTAAATTTACTTGAAATGTTTTGAGACTTACGTACACTCTCAGGAGGACAATATTTTTACGCTACGTCAACCCCTTCGAAGGTACAGCCACTCACAAATTCAGTTTCTCATTTAAATCACCAATACTAAAAATGCATGTATATACAAAACATATGAATCAAAATTCATCTATCATTTCTATTTATTTTATAAATTCAATAACAAAATGATAATTGACATTATTAAAAAGATCCTTAACAGGTTTAACATTGAAATATTTACCCCTTATGACAGAGAATTCGACACAGTCAAGCAGGAGATGCTTGACTGTGACTCTCTCATCACAAGGGATACAAAACGGAGGATCTTCACCTTTCAACAAGTATTTGTGAGTATACCTTGTATGGCCAATGCGACATCGTCGCATAATGACCTCCTCAAATCTGGACTGACAACCCAAGTGAGTGAACAGGTGACAACATCCTTCACTGCGCCTGTAGGGGAGGAGATGTGGAGGTGGTGGAGTACATCCTCTCAAAGATGATGGTTCATATTGACAGTAGGGGATACAAACGCCACACACCAGTGGTGTTAGCAGGATACGGGGGATATAAAGAAGTTGTGGAGTTACTTGTCAAACATGGAGCTAATCTAGCTCTCTCAAACAGCGACAGAAACACCATCCTTCACTTGACCTCTTACGGAGGATCTGTGGAAGTAATGAAATATGTCCTCTCACAGAACTCGGTAGACGTAAACAGACGGGGTTGGAAGACGAGGACGGCAGTAATGATAGCAGGACAGAAAGGACGTAAAGGATTGGTTGAATTATTCGTAAAACATGGAGCTAAACTGTCACTCACAGATAGAGATGGTGAAAACATTCTTCACTTAGCCATTCATGGAGGACATTTGGAGGTAGTGAAATATATCCTGTCACTGGGTACTGTGGACATCAACGTCAAGAACAATAAGAGACAAACAGCAGTGGGGAAAGCAAGAAAGAATAGACACCGAGACGTGGTGGACCTACTTGTGACATACGGTGCTCACACAGAATCCAGGACAAAATCCACCCGGACCAAATCCACCCCAAAATTGCAAACTAGGACAAAATCCACCCGGACAAAATCCACACCTAATAAATTCCACCCTAAGAAGAAAAAAACACCTAATGACATGTTTAGTCACAGAAATGAATTTTATTCATATCAGTCATTAAAAAGTATGTTCTATCAAAACATGAGTATAAAGGGCTCCAATCAGGCTTGCAAAAACATCTTAATTCTTTAAGGTGATTACGTAATGATCAAAGTGTGAGACTACTTAATGATACATGAAAGAGGATTAAGTAGTGATCAAAATGTGACAAATGGAGAAACCTTTAATGTTTGAAACAACATCTAGGAACAACAGCCAATTAGGAAAACGTAAATGCTATCAAAACAATGCTTGCAATGCTTGAGAAAAACATACGTAATGATCAAAGTGTGAGACTACTTAATGATACATGAAAGAGGATTAAGTAGTGATCAAAATGTGACAAATGGAGAAACCTTTAATGTTTGAAACAACATCTAGGAACAACAGCCAATTAGGAAAACGTAAATGCTATCAAAACAATGCTTGCAATGCTTGAGAAAAACAACTTGATCAAAGATCAGGACACACTAAAACTTTTAACAATAGCAATTTGAGAAGGGTGGATTTTGTCCATTTTTTTGTTAAGAAGAGGTGGATTTTGTCCGGGGTGGCAATTTTGGGGTGGATTTTGTCCGGGTGGATTGTGTCCGGTCACCGCTCGCACATAACAGTTGCTTTGTTGTGAAGGGTTACATGTTCTTTGCTTCACGTGTCCATGCTTCCGTTTCAAACATATTGATGTGTTGAATAATCACACCAGGAACAGATATATTTACGAATTGAAATTATACATACATGTTATACAGACAAATTGACGTGTAGGATACATACATGTGATACAGACATATTGACGTGTTGGATACATACATGTGATACAGACATATTGACGTGTAGGATACATACATGTGATACAGACACATTGACGTGTAGGATATATACATGTGATACAGATGCATTGATGTGTAGGATACTGTAAATCATGAAATTAATGCGAGCATTTCATTAATGCGAAAAATGCATCTGTACTCTACTCGCATTAATATAATGACGCGTTTCAGTCTGACCATGTCTACTTTTGAGAACTTAATAAAAGACAGAAAACGTAAATCTCTTGTCGCCTTTATTGTCTTCAGGTTAGCATTTATCATAACAATACAGAATCTAACAACAATTCAGACATCTCTCATTAAGTTAATTGACAAATGAGCACTTATGTCCGTGACACTAATTGATATCCATTGAACTTCATTCATCGGCAAATTTTGTAACAATAGCGGAGGTGTTGACACTACACATATACTACACACCAATACAGGTCACTTCCTCATTACAGGTATCTCAAGTCAATTATCACTGGTTACAATCACTAGTCATTGTTCAAAGTCACTCAAGCACATCAGCCAGGCCGGACATTCTCCAACCACGCAGGATCATTTCTCGATCTTTACTTCACCTTTGAAATCGCGGCTTCCATCCACCTGGCATGAAGAGGCTTCATTACGCTAATGCGTAAATCAACACGTGTGTCCTTCTTTGACTCCATCAAATTCTCCGACACTTTGTCAGCGTACCAGTTGATGCAGTTGATGCAGACATAATGCAGTTGATGCAGACATATTGACATGCTGATGTGTTGGATACATACATGTAATACTTACAAACTGACCTGTAGGATACATACATGTGATACAAACGTATTGACATGTGAAATACCATACATGTGATACAGACATACTGACCTGCGGCATACTGACGTGAAACAGACATATTGACGAGTAGGATACATACATGTGATACAGACATGTTGACGTTAGGGATACATACCTGTGATACAGATATATCAGCGTAAGTGATGCATACATGTGATACAGATATATTGACGTGTGGCATAGAAACGTGATACAGACATATTGACGTGTAGGATACATACATGTGATACAGACATGTTGACGTAAGGATGCATACATGTCATACAGATATACTGACGTGTGGCATAGAAATAACGTAATAAAGATATATTGACGTGTAGGATACATACATGTGATACAGACATATTCATGTGTGGTATACAAACGTGATACAGACATATTGACGTGTGGTATACAAACGTGAATCAGACATATTGACGTATAGGATACATACATGTGATACAGACATATTGACGTGTGGGGTACATACATTTGATATAGATATATTGACGTAAAGGATACATACATGTGATACAGACATATTGACGAAACGGATACATACATGTTATACAGACATATTGACGTAAGGGGTTCATTCATGTGATACAGACATATTGACGTGTGGTGTACTTACATAAGATACAGACACAGATACATACATTTCGACATATGGGATACATAAATTTGATACAGATATATTGACGTAAGGGATACATACATGTCATACAGACATATTGATGAAACGGATACACACATGTGATACAGATATATTGACGTAAGGGACACATAAATGTGATACTGGTATATTGACGTAAGGGATACATATATCTGATACAGACATATTGACGTGTATGATACATACATGTGATACAGATATAGTGACGTGTAGGGAACATACATCTGATACAGACATGTTGACGTGTAGGATACATACACGTGATACAGATATATTGACGTAATGGATACATACATGTGATACAGATATATTGAAGTGTGGGATTATACTTACATGAGATACATACATTTCGACATATGGGATACATAATTGACGTTTTGACGTTAGGGATACATACATGTGATACTGACTTATTTACGTAGGGGATACAGACATGTGATACAGATATATTGATGTGTAGGATATATACATGTGATATAGACTTATTGGCATA